CACTTCTGGCGAACCAGAGCAGCGCACGGAAACGCCGTTTACCTTCCCGCTGGAGTGGTACCTATTTATCTACTTGCACTTTGATGTGCTTTCGAACTGCTAGGTTGGCAGGAGCAGGGACCGAGCAACGGGAGCTCACCCCATCACGGGGATTCAAACCGCCAACCTTCTGATCGGCAAGTCCTAGGCTCTGTGGTTTAACCCACAGTGCCACCCGCAACCCTCAGGACTTTATATACATGGCTATAAAGGCTTTCATGGCTCAGGACCTCAATACCTTAAGATTTGCCTCTCCCCATATTGAACCGAACCTGTGCTTGTCACCTGAGGCCTTTCTCTGTGTCCTCCATCCCAGAGAGGTTTGGATAGTGGCAATATGAGAATGGGCCAGAGAGATTCGCCTGGCGCCTTCATTATATGTTTTTAGGCGCCAGACAAAAATGTTCCTCTTCAACCAGGCCTTTGGCTGATTAATATTCTACAGACTTTTAAATGTGTCTGTGGGAAAGGGGGTTAGTGTTTCACTGTTTTGTTTTACTTGTATGTTTTTATCCTGTGTTTTATTCTGTGAACCACCCCGAGATCTTCTTATAAAGAGCATAATAATAATAATAATAATAATAATATTTTTTTATTTATATCCTGCCCATCTGGCTGGGTTTCCCCAGCCACTCTGGGTGGTTTCCAACCGAATATCAAAAACAATACAGCATCAGACATTAAAAACTTCCCTAAACAGGGCTGCCTTCAGTTGTCTTTTAAAAGTAAAATAGTTGTTTATTGCCTTGACATCTGCTGGGAGGGCGTTCCACAGGGCAGGTGCCACTACCGAGAAGGCCCTCTGCCTGGTTCCCTGTAACCTCACTTCTTGCAGCGAGGGAACTGCAAGAAAGCCCTCAGCGCTGGACCTCAGTGTCTGGGCTGGATGATGGGGGTGGAGACGCTCCTTCAGGTATACAGGTATATAAATCTAATCAAATAATCAAAAAAGACTGAATAAGAACTTTTAAGTCTCCCACATGTCCTGCCACTCCCCCGCCCCCCGGGGAAATGGAACAAATGTAGACTGGGTTTTCCAAGCATTGGTATTTGCTCTGATTCTGTGGTAAAGAGAGGATTTTCCCAGGGAATGCAGGTAGGCAAACGGAAAACCATCACACCTGTGCCAAAAAGCGTGGGACAAACAGAAAGCATCTCGGACCCGTGAAGTCCGGAATGAGCCGAAATGTGGATGAACCCTGAATCAGACGTCCCATTGTGCCAGAGCAGGCAGAACAGTTGGAAGCAGATGTTCAGCGATGGGTTTTCTTTGTTCCCCTTTGCGTTCAACGGAAGAGTTTTAACTTACAACATGCCTGTGGTCACTGTAATATTATGCTGGTATGTGGGCCAGGTGAGAGGTTTGAGGGAGCAGAGGATTTGGTGTAAGCCCGTTCTTCCTCTGTCAGCACCCTATTTGGAGACTGCCATCCATGGAGTTAAGATGGAGTCAGGCATATGCATATGGAGTGCCCTGCCAGATTATCCCTGACGTTATGCCAGGCTGGGGGGATTTACAGTGCATCCTAAGGCCAACATATCTGAGGTAAAAGATTGTGCCCAAATTCCCTTTCCAAGGGCCGCCCCATAAACTTTCTGACTATTGTTACCTCAAAGGTGTTTTTGGTTTTGTTTTTTTGTTTACTTTTTAACCTGTCATGTTCAAAACCCCTTCAAAACCAGTTCAAGCCATTTGGAAATAAAGAGAAGGTTCTTATTTTTTGAGTTGGTTTAATCACTAGAGGGGAACAGTCAGTATGACCCACATTACTTAAGCACTCTAACAGGCATTTTTAGATGACAAATTCCTGATATTTATCTATTTTTGTGTGTGCGCGCACGTGCACATATATATATTATAAATGTGTGTGTGTACATATAACACACACACACACCCTGTGCCAAGGTTATCCAAACTTTGCACAAGAAAAACTGAATCCCGCAACCTTTATAAATAAGGCAACTTAAGCAAATTTTAATATTTGTTATCATGCATAATTTATTCTGCTTCTCCTAGCTATAGGGAGGCATGAGGAGCTATGCAGGGCACTGAAACTTCTTCTCCATCTCTCTCTCTCTCTCTCTCTCTCTCTCTCTCTCTCACACACACACACACACACACACACACACACACACTATCGCTGAGCCATTCTTCACAGCCACAGGAACTATCTAGGAGGGATGGGGAACCTGCGGCTCTCCAGGTATTGTTGTACTCTGTCTCCCAACGCCCCCAACCAACAAAGCCAATAGTCAAAGGATGACAGGAGTTGTTATCCAACAACATCTGGAAAGCTACAGGTTCTCTACCCTTAAACAAATGAAAACAGGGGTTCTTGTACCCTGCCCTGCATTTGGTGGCTTTTCTGTGCTTGCACAGAACTGCAGAATAAATAGGGAGCTGGCCATAGGCACAACACCATCAAGAGACACACTAAATATTAAATGCAGTAATTGTTTTAGAAGCCACGGTTGGAGCACACAGTTGACAGTGGATAAACTAAGTGGGGAGGGACATTCCAGCTTTCCTGCCCAAACAAAAATTTAAAACTCTTAAAGGGGAGAAGCTGCTCTTTGGGGAAAGGGATCAGAAGTAGAAAAACAACAAGCAGAGAAAACGCTTTGACTCCACACACCTACACACACCATGTCTCCACTATCAGGTCATGCAATATGGAAGTGACTTACAAAACAGAAAAAGAGGTTTTGGACTACAGTTAGCAACATAAGAGACCGGCTGGATGAGACCAAGGGCCTATAGACACCAGCATTTTTCTTTCTTGAAGTCAGTAAGCAACAGAATTAGGACATACATCTCATAGACGTTGCAATTTGTTTTGAGCACATTGACTAAAGTGAGCACTAGCAAATATGATGTGCTTGCAGGACAAAATAAAAAATCTGGGTGCAATAGAGTGACAAGTTCTGCCATGCAAACAAGCCCCATTGAATCGGATGGCACTGCTCTTTATGCAGGTCCCATTCAATTTGATGCCACTTGGGCAGGAGGTCTTGTGCCCTTGATAGAACTGAAACGCACAAGTCCCGTACTCCTTCACCGACACGGCTTGGTCCAATATACAAGCCGTCACCGATCAATTTAGCAGCTCTCCAACGGGCAGTGTGAAGAGGCGATGTTCGCCGGATAGATTGTCTAGTAAAATCATTATCTTCTCTGCCCACAGGACACACATTGTACTTCAAAATCACATTGCCGACGGGAAGTCGTCCAGTTCAGCTAATCATCTACAAGGGCATTTTCCCCAATGCAGTCGAAGAAGGAATGTCAGAGCAACTTACCCCCAAGAGATACATGTGGCAGCAAATGTTCAGAGTCCAGTTCTGCTGCCAGTCTTGAGGCAAATCTCTATCCTGCCAGATGTTGCTTTCTGTGGGGCTGATAGACCCTGAACAGGACTCAAGCCTTTAAAAACCTGATCTGGTGTAACATTTATATTATGTCGGCATAGCTCTCCCCTTCTCCTCTTCTGAGTAATGTCATAATGTGGCAGTTCTTAACGTCTGGTGGAGCTAATTCTTTACCTTCAAGCTTTGTACTCAACCCTATGAGGTACAGGTAAATACTCAAAAGATTTCTGACCCTTCGGATTTTCCACAATAGTCCCTTCCCTCCAAGGAAAAGCTAAAGCATTAAGACCTTTTTAAGGCTGATCGCTGAAGAATTGATGCTTTGGAATTATGGTTCTGGAGGAGACTCTTGAGAGTCCCATGGGCTGCAAGAAGAGCAAACCTCTCCATTCTGAAGGAAATCAGCCCTGAGTGCTCACTGGAAGGACAGATCCTGAAGCTGAGGCTCCAAGACTTTGGCCACTTCATGAGAAGAGAAGACTCCCTGGAAAAGACCCTGATGCTGGGAAAGATGGAGGGCACAAGGAGAAGGGGACGACAGAGGACAAGATGGTGGGACAGTGTTCTCGAAGCTACCAACGTGAGTTTGACCAAACTGCGGGAGGCAGTGGAAGACAGGAGTGCCTGGCGTGCTCTGGTCCAGGGGGTCACGAAGAGGCGGACATGACTAAATGACTAAACAACAACAATTTAAAAAGAAAAGATGACTGAGGATGGGGAACATGTGTCTATGAAATTATAAATGGCCAGGGGCTGCCCCACTACTCACTCTGCTCCCCAACCTCCTGCCGTTCACACTGCATTAACCCTCCAGAGCTTCCCCTTCCCACTGCGTGGGAAGTGTAGGTGAGTTCCCACGAGGCAAGACACAGTGATAACAGCAAGAACCTTTATTTAACTACATCACTGGGAAACAGGGGCAAAGCAACTGCTTATATATATTCCTGAAAGCCCGGGCCACTCCCACTCCCAACGTGATAGGCTGTCTAAACTTCCAAGCTGCGAATCACGACTCAGAGTCCAAGGGCCAATGGCAGAGGCCCAAATCCTGAAATGTTCTGTGATTGGACATCATGTATTGAATCAGGAGCTCAGAATCCTTAGTCCAGACTCAAGCTCAGGGAAACACAGACCACTGAATACATAACAGTGTGCAACAGTTAAGCTTGCTTTTCACTATCCCAGACCCCTTTCTGAAACCACCTCTCTCTTCTGTTCTGCTGCCCTGCTTTGCACCCCATGCCCACGCCTCCTCGCCCCCAACACCTTTTGTGCAACCCTCCCTTGCACACAGAGGGACGCGGGTGGCGCTGTGGGTTAAACCACAGAGCCTAGGACTTGCTGATCAGAAGGTTGGCAGTTCGAATCCCTGTGATGGGGTGAGCTCCCATTGTTTGGTCCCTGTTCCTGCCAACCTAGCAGTTCGAAAGCACATCAAAGTGCAAGTAGATCAATAGGTACTGCTCTGGCGGGAAGGTAAATGGTGTTTCCGTGCGCTGCTCTGGTTCGCCAGAAGCGGCTTAGTCATTCTGGCCACATGACCCGGAAGCTGTCTGCGGACAAACGCCGGCTCCCTCGGCCAGTAAAGTGAGATGAGCACCGCAACCCCAGAGTCGGTCACGACTGGACCTAATGGTCAGGGGTACCTTTACCTTTACCTTTACCCTTGCACACAAACCACCCTCCATGGTAACCTTCTGCATCCGGGGCCGGCTCACTCATGAGGCAAGGTGAGGCAACTGCCTCGGGTGGCAAGATCCATAGGGGCAGCAGATCCTGCCTCCAAGGAATGCATCACCTGCTGCTCTGTGGCAGCAGCACACTCCTTGAAGTCCAGATCTGCCTTTCCGCCTGGTCCCTGATGCAGATCTTCACTCACTCCTCCTTTCCGTGTGTGTGTGTGTGTGTGTGTGTGTCATTTTGTGGTTCGCCTCAGGTAACAAAATGTCTTGGGCTGGCCCTGCCTGCATCTTCCTCCTCCCACACAGCGCAGCTACAAAGCACCCATTTCACTTTCCACCCAGCTATGAAGCCACCAATCTTTCCTGTTCTGCAGAAGCTCTCATGCCCCTGCTCTCATCTTCAACCACATTCCCATACCTCCTGCTTCCTCTCTTTTTGCAACCCCCTCCTCCTGCTCATTGTTCTCAACTCTCCTTTGCACACTGACCAGCCACATTTCCAGGCCTCCTCCCATTCTGAAGCCCCCTTTGCACACCCACACCCCATGCTCTTAAGAGCAAGCCTGTCAGTTAGTGCCTTCAGTCAGAGAAGGTAAAGTCACTCTGTTGAATCTGGAACTTCATGCTGAAGGCAACATAAGGTATTGCGTGAAGGGTCGGTAGAACACCTGAGGGCTCCACATCGTTTATCCACATCCCCATGAGGCTGCTGAGGAATAGGAGAGAGAGACTAGTGAGTACAGCGAGAAGGGAGTGACACTAGCAAGAAAAAAGTAACTGTTGTAAACAACAGCAGAGGTTTGAAAAAAGCAGGGAGGGAGCACACTGAGAAGCACATGGACACCCTGATAGGTATTAGGGCTGGGCGAAATCTGGTTTTCAGCATCGTGATATACCACCAGCTAAACAACACAATATACTGATATATCACAATGTCTGAAATGAGGATGGAGCTATGTAGAGGCATTGGCTGGCTTCACGGTTTTGCTTGCATCACGATTTTTGTATAACACACACACACACACACACACACACACACACACACAATTCACAATATATTGCCAGGTCAAAAATTATGAAACCAATACCATGATATGGATTTGAAACTAATTTTGGGTGATATATCACCCAGCCCTAACACTCATCATGATTCACTATAGTCAAAAATATGAAACCAGTATGACGATATATTGATATATTGGCCAGCCCTAATAGGTACACGGCTGAAGTCAAGCAGATCTGACAGGCAGATCTATCAGGACGGTGTTCTCGTTCATCTCAGTGGAGTGTGTGCATGAGAAGCTCCTGGTGAGTTATATAAGTGTGTCAGGGGCGCAGACTTGCCCCTGACAATGACGGAGCCCAGCGCCGCATGACATCATGAGTGTCCAGAGGAGGGCAACCAAAATGGTCAAAGGCCTGGAAACGATGCCTTATGAGGAACGGCTAAGGGAGCTGGGCATGTTTAGCCTGGAGAAGAGGAGGTTGAGGGGTGATATGATAGCCATGTTCAAATATATAAAAGGATATCACATAGAGGAGGGAGAAAGGTTGTTTTCTGCTGCTCCTGAGAAGTGGACACAGAGCAATGGATCCAAACTACAAGAAAGAAGATTCCACCTAAACATTAGGAAGAACTTCCTGACAGTAAGAGCTGTTCGACAGTGGAATTTGCTGCCAAGGAGTGTGGTGGAGTCTCCTTCTTTGGAGGTCTTTAAGCAGAGGCTTGGCAACCATATGTCAGGAATGCTCTGATGGTGTTTCCTGCTTGGCAGGGGGTTGGACTCGATGGCCCTTGTGGTCTCTTCCAACTCTATGATTCTATGATTCTATGATCATATGCACTTAATGTGCAATTGGGGGGGGCACAAGATCCCCATTGCCCCCTGGCGGCAGCAGGGACTGGAGGGCACAGAGAGCAAAGATCACCTTCTGGGCCCCAACCAGTGCTCTGCCGGTGGCTGTGGGGAATGCAGAGGGCATGTTTGCAAGTGGGAGGGCGATCTGTTTGGTGGGCCCTCAATACAGTGGTAACTCCGGTTAAGAACTGAATTCGTTCTGGAGGTCCATTCTTAACCCGAAACTGTTCGTAACCTGAGGTACCACTTTAGCTAATGTGGCCTCCCGCTGCTGCTGCGCCATCGTCGTCCGATTTCTGTTCTCATCCTGAAGCAAAGTTCTTAACCCGAGGTACTATTTCTGGGTTAGCGGAGTCTGTAACCTGAAGCGTATGTAACCTGAGGTACCACTGTATTGGGGGGGGGCTCAGCCCCCTGCCCACAAATATTGAGGGGGCCGAAGCCCCTTCTGCCCTCTATAGTTGGCACCCCTGGTGTGCGTGGTGGTGGTGGGCAATAAATTGGGCAATAAATATCAGCCACACCGCCGTGCAGCATGTCCTCCAGATTCTTTGTAACGTCCGTTCCTGAAATTATGGCTTCCGGCCACCTTTCATTCCTTGTACCGCTGCAACTTTAGAACAGAACACCTTATCAGGTACTTCTGATATCAACTGCAATACCTCACAGGGAACATAGTTAGCAAGCCAATGTGGCTCACCGCATATTTAATCATTTATTTATTTTTACATTTGCTGCCGTTCAATTTTCACGCTGCTCTTATTATTTATCTATTATATTTGCATCCCACAAGGCACTTAACAGCTGTATATGGGGCAGATCTCTGTCTGCCTTTGAAAACTGAGAAAGATAAAACTAAGGAGGAAAGCCCTGCGAGTTACACTGAGCTCGGAGACAGTGACTCTCCGAAAAGCCGCTCTGTAAGCTCTGTTCTGTAAGCAGGGATGAACTGCCATGGCCTTGTTCTATCCACTATTTCACACTTGTGATCTGTACAAAAACATGTGTGTTAGTGTTGGTGGAGCGTAATGTGAGGCCCAAATCTAGGAAGACTACAACGTTTAAGAAATTTGCTTTCAGGAGTTCATGTTCAAAATGACTCATTTGCCAGAGGTTTGGAGGGAATAGCTGTGGAAAGATGGAAGGGTGTGTTCCCTGATCTAGGACCTGCTAAGGGAAATTCTTCATGCCTGTACCAGTAATTATTGTGTCCTTACAAACCGCCTCTATGTACAGTATTTGGCAAGACTGATTTAGATGACAATCAATGACTGGGGATAAGCATCCCATAAAAACACTCTCTGCTAGCATACAAACACAACAAATGTAACATATTAGTCTAAGGTAAAGGTAACCCTGACCATTAGGTTCAGTCGTCCTTTGCGGCACTCATCTCGCTTTACTGGCCGAGGGAGCCGGTGTACAGCTTCCGGGTCACGTGGCCAGCATGATTATGCGGCTTCTGGCGAACCAGAGCAGTGCACGGAAACGTCGTTTACCTTCCCGCCAGAGTGGTACCTATTTATCTAGTTGCACTTTGAAGTGCTTCTGAACTGCTAGGTTGGCAGGAGTAGGGACCGAGCAACGGGAGCTCACCCTGTCGCGGGGATTCGAACCGCCGACCTTCTGATCGGCAAGCCCTAGGCTCTGTGGTTTAACCCACAGCGCCACCCGCGTCCCTTCAACATATTAGTCTAGCCTTCTGCAAATATAAATGCATTTGATCACTGACCTCAGCATACATTTGATGCTCTTTTTTGTGATAGCACATGCCACAGGAAGACCGTATCCTATGCACGTCAACTTGAGAAAGCCATTTCCCGATCCTGGGGAGATGATGTTGCAGGATGGGAGCAAGCCTTCCCCACATGCATGGGGCGGGATTGCCCCTGCGCCATTGGATGGTCCTCGGCCATGTCATCCCTAGGCCGTCCAATCCGGTGCAGGCTATTTAAACCGCCCACGGTCAAGGACTCACCCCTTTTCTCCCTGCTCAGTCACTTCTTGCACCCTTAGGTTAGGCTCTTATTTCTTGACCTTGCTATGGACCTCGGTTGGTCGCCTTGGTTGTCCAAGGGGCCTGGTAGGAATTTTTCCCCAGCTGGCAAATTGGCACCAGCCATTTGGTTTTTCACCTGAAGGTAAAGGGACCCCTGACCATTAGGTCCAGGCGTGGACCAACTCTAGGGGTTGCGGCACTCATCTCGCTTTACTGGCCGAGGGAGCCGGCGTACAGCTTCCGGGTCATGTGGCCAGCAGGACTAAGCCGCTTCTGGCGAAACCAGAGCAGCGCACGGAAACGCCGTTTACCTTCCCACTGGAGCGGTACCTAGTTATCTACTTGCACTTGACGTGCTTTCGAACTGCTAGGTGGGCAGGAGCAGGGACCGAACAACGAGATCATAGATCATAGGTACATATCACTATAAAGTCCTTCAAAGGCCATCACCTACCCCTCCTAATTCAAGGGTATTCCGTTAAAGGAATCCAGGGGGCATGGTCTCTGTCCGAAGCCCCAGACTGGGGTGGGGGCTAGGGCCATGGCACGACCCCTAGCGGTGACCCTGGGGGAGTTACTAGTTGATGTGCATCAGCAAGGCTCCCCCTACTGGTGGTTAACCCTTCCAACACTCCTGCGGATGGGCAGGAGGAGTCAGATATAGTCATGTGGTTTCCAGTGCCTAAGCCAATACCACTCACATTCTGTAACCAATAAAGTTGTGGCCTTTTTCGCCCATTAACCTAAAATACTGCTTCATGTGTCTTTATTCCACTTCCTGGGAGGGTGTGAGACCTTGCCATGCAACTCTATTCCAAGCAAACATATGTACAGTTTGGCTGTACATGTGATAGTCTGGAGGCAGCCAATAATTCTTAAGAGAGCTGAAACCGATTTGAAAGACGGGACTGGTCCCCATTCTGTGCGGACGCGTTGACCCCACAGCCGTCTACAGGCAAACAGGTTTTCCAATGGGTTCATTGCAATGGGAAAATCTGCAAAACCTGTTTGCCAAATGCAAACATTGGCTGAGTGTGCCCATTAATCCCTCTTTCAAACCACTCTCTGAAAAAACTGTCTCTCCAGACTGTTAGTTTTCAAAGGCTAGAGGCAGGCAGCAGTTTGAAAGAGGGGCTGCCACTCCTGGCGGGTATACTCTCGCCACCTCTGATGATCCACTCTGATCAAATATGCTTTGCAGGTTTTGGATTGTTTACGGTTGCCATACATCTGGGATTTCCTGCACACATATGTGGAATACTGCAGTCGGAAATCATTAAAATGTCCATGCATATGGCAGCCCAGATCAGCAATGCTGTTTTTGCCAATTTTCCTTAAAAATAGCTCAAAAACGTCTCTCTTTCTCTTTGTTTTTTTGCAATTTTGCTTAAAAACGCTCAACAACTTTTCTGTCCGGATTTTCACTGTTTGAAATATGGCAACCCTAAGATGGTTAAAACCTGCAAAACCTGTTTGACCGGAGTGATAGGGCTGGGTTGTTGTTGTTTTTTACAAAATTATGCATGTACCTCATAGAAAAGGAAGTCTCCTTCAAAGCGCTTTAAATGTTCGTAAAATATAGTTGTCTCCCTTAAATTGCCTTGCGCTGCTAGAATCTATGCTGGAAAGACAATTGCATGCAACACAAATTTACAGCAGGATGTACAAAAATGGCAAGACATTTTCCTGCAAGATTGTGCACGCCTTTGCCCCTCAACCTCCCTGTAGCTCACTTTCACTTTCTTCCAAACTACCACCCGCTTTCACTCATCTGCTGGCCCTTTCAGTTTGATCACGCAGGCCCAAAATGCTAGGAATCCAGTCTAGGTCAACATCCCCATTTCCTCCCTTCAGGTTTGTAAATTGCAAAGCAAATAATTTATTAACTCTTTCACCTTTTTATATTCTATGGTTAAGCCCCTGTCCTTACATGCCTCTGCCCTCTAGTGGAACGCAGACGGCCAAATGCTTTCTGCAGTTCCATCCTCTTATTTCCTTACCTGTTGAAGGGATCACATTTTGAAGAGAGGAGTCTGAGACAGGAAATAAAATGGAGTTTTATGCAATGGTCTCTCAACTACAGTTCCCAGAATGCTCTTTGTTATTATCCTTTGTGAAGCTGAGCAAGCTCAGCCAAGTTGCCCACTGCCCTGCCTTAGTCCAAGGATGAGAGTCCATAGTGGCTCTCGTTCCAGGACTCTGTGGAGCCATCTGATTCCTGGAACTCAGAACCTGGAGCATATGAAAGAATAGCATTTTTAAAAAAATAAATAAATCTTGCAAATTTCACACTATGGGCCCTATTACAGTAGGAATTAAACTGATGGCTGCTTACCCTCTGCTAGTACTGTATATATCCAGCATTCCTCTTCCACAACAAGCCTGGATAACTGCATGAACATCTCCCTTCATTGCACATTGGTGAAGATTATTCTCCAGTGGCTTTCTGTACCCATTCAGCAACATTTACATTTGCCTTCTGGATATAGGGTGCTTCCAGACAAGGGCTTAATTTGCAGATGGATCGCTGAGATGCCACAAGTGGGATAATTGCCACAGGTTTATTTTACTTCGTGGGATTACTTCTGGAAAGGCTAAATCTTGAATAAAATTTGAGGTGTTGGTGGCAGGATACGGGTTGCATACCCTCCAACATTTCTCCAATGAATATCGGGATGTGCGTATAATAATAATAATAATACAGTGGTACCTCGGGTTACATACGCTTCAGGTTACATACGCCTCAGGTTACAGACTCTGCTAACCCAGAAATAGTGCTTCAGGTTAAGAACTTTGCTTCAGGATGAGAACAGAAATCATGCTCTGATGGTGTGGCGGCAGCAGGAGGCCCCATTAGCTAAAGTGGTGCTTCAGGTTAAGAACAGTTTCAGGTTAAGAATGGACCTCTGGAACGAATTAAGTACTTAACCCGAGGTACCACTGTAATAATAATAATAATAATAATAATAATAATAATAATAATAATAATATCTTGCCCATCTGACTGGGGCTGCCCCAGCACTGAGGCTTCCAACATATATGAAAACATAATAAAGCATTAAAAAAACTTCCCCATACAGGGCTGCCTTCAGATGTCTTCTAAAGGTTGTATATTGAAATAAAAAAATTTAAGGTCTTTTATATATATATATATATATATATATATATATATATATATATATATGCAGGTTTTGGTGTCCTCGGGTGTCTTCCCGTGTAAAAGTTGGGGTGTCTAGGCGACGTTTCGACGAGGTCTCACTCGTCATCTTCAGGCTGGTGCTTTCGGCTTCTTGTTACTGGAACAGAGCAGGATCTCAGTGTTTGAGTTCCTATAAATACTGTTGAGGAGGTGTGGTGTATAGCCTCCAATGTTCTGGGCAGAGAGGAAGTTCCCAGGCTAGTGTGCCTTTTCTTCTTTTGTTCCTTAATTACTTGAGGGATATCTTGAGTGATTTCTTGAGTGATATCCTGAGTACCACTTAGGTGGGTCATTAGGTGTGGATTAGTTGCTAAAGCCTTCGTGTCTTGACCTCTTGAACTTTGTGAAGAGTTTTTCTGAGAAGATGGCTGTACTGCACTTAGTTGTGCTCTGGCTTGGCTTCGTGTATAGGGGCGAGCTGTGGTTTTGTGGCCTGTGCCAGCCAGATCTGTGTAGGGATTGCAGGGGGGTGCAGCATCCGGAGGTGCCACCATGGTTTGGCTACTGGATGGTGTCTGTAATTTATCTGTAGAGAGGGTCTGGGTTTGGGTCTGGTGTGGTTGATTGGTGATGGCGTTCTGTGTGCCTCTGGATCTGGTGTCGGTTTTTGTGGGGAGGGCTAATTTCCAGATGTCTGGCAGGCGGGATGTGTCGTCACGCTTGTTCATGTTGTGAGGGTGTTTCTCTATCTCGATGGCTTCCATGATTATTCTCTTGTGGTGATGTTCCATGTTAAAGAGCAATTTGGAATCTGCAAAATTAATTTCGTGTCCTGTTTCTTTCATGTGTTGGAAAAGAGAGGAAGTTTTTTCTTCTTTTTTGACGGCATTCTTGTGTTCTGCGATACGTGCATTTATTCGTCTGTTTGTTTGTCCAATGTACGTGGCTGGGCAGACTTTGCAGGGTATTTCATAGACCCCTTGGTTTTCCAACTGGATTTTATCCTTGGGGTTTCTGAGGATATTGGCTATTTTTTGGTTGGTGCAAAAGGCTGTTTTGATATTGTGTTTATGGAGGATTTTGCTAATTTTATCTGTAGTGCCCTTGATATAAGGAAGGAGGGCCATGCCATTGTTTTCTTCTGTGTCTTGGTTTTTGGGGGGTGTTTCTTTGCAAAGTCTGCCCAGCCACGTACATTGGACAAACAAACAGACGAATAAATGCACGTATCGCAGAACACAAGAATGCCGTCAAAAAAGAAGAAAAAACTTCCTCTCTTTTCCAACACATGAAAGAAACAGGACACGAAATTAATTTTGCAGATTCCAAATTGCTCTTTAACATGGAACATCACCACAAGAGAATAATCATGGAAGCCATTGAGATAGAGAAACACCCTCACAACATGAACAAGCGTGACGACACATCCCGCCTGCCAGACATCTGGAAATTAGCCCTCCCCACAAAAACCGACACCAGATCCAGAGGCACACAGAACGCCATCACCAATCAACCACACCAGACCCAAACCCAGACCCTCTCTACAGATAAATTACAGACACCATCCAGTAGCCAAACCATGGTGGCACCTCCGGATGCTGCACCCCCCTGCAATCCCTACACAGATCTGGCTGGCACAGGCCACAAAACCACAGCTCGCCCCTATACACGAAGCCAAGCCAGAGCACAACTAAGTGCAGTACAGCCATCTTCTCAGAAAAACTCTTCACAAAGTTCAAGAGGTCAAGACACGAAGGCTTTAGCAACTAATCCACACCTAATGACCCACCTAAGTGGTACTCAGGATATCACTCAAGAAATCACTCAAGATATCCCTCAAGTAATTAAGGAACAAAAGAAGAAAAGGCACACTAGCCTGGGAACTTCCTCTCTGCCCAGAACATTGGAGGCTATACACCACACCTCCTCAACAGTATTTATAGGAACTCAAACACTGAGATCCTGCTCTGTTCCAGTAACAAGAAGCCGAAAGCACCAGCCTGAAGATGACGAGTGAGACCTCGTCGAAACGTCGCCTAGACACCCCAACTTTTACACGGGAAGACACCCGAGGACACCAAAACCTGCATTCCTGTACCCGTGAAAATCTACGAAAGCATATATATATATATATATATATAATAAATGTTCATACACGTACCAACCATAGATACATAGATATGTGGACCACATGTCTGGAGCAGCAGAGGAAGACCGTCCTGAAACCATTTTGACTCCCAAACTGACCAAATGTTTTCTCTGCGAGGAGGGAGGGGGCGAGGGAACCTTCCCATTGTCTCAGGAATTGAGTAATCACCATCTCAAAGGAATGGCCAGACTACCAGGAAAGGCAATCAGATAAGGCATGATCAGATAAGGCATGATCAGATAACCTGACATCATCATCATCATCATCATCATCATTTATTATTTATACCCCGCCTATCTGGCTGAGTTTCCCCAGCCACTCTGGGCGGCTCCCAATCAAGTGTTAAAAACAGTACAGCGTTACATATTAAAAACTTCCCTGAACAGGGCTGCCTTAAGATGTCTTCTGAATGTCAGGTAGTTGTTTATCTCTTAGACATCTGATGGGAGGGCGTTCCACAGGGCGGGCGCCACTACCGAGAAGGCCCTCTGCCTGGTTCCCTGTAGCCTCACTTATTGCAATGAGGGAACCGCCAGAAGGCCCTCGGCGCTGGATCTCAGTGTCCGGGCTGAATGATGGGGATGGAGACGCTCCTTCAGGTATACGGGACTGAGGCCGACAGGAAAAACAACAACATTCAAATTCCTGTTGTAGACCGCCTTTTCTGTGATGTAGGTATGATGTTTGTGGGGGGAGGTCTTGGGTTACACCCCTTCTGTGATGTATGTATGATGTATGGAGGGGTGGTCTTCAGCTCCAGGGCAGGCAATTTAAAATATAGACAAGGGCAGGCACACCTTTGTTCTGGGTCCTCCTTCTCCTGAAGGTGAGGGGAACACCCTGTTGCAACAGTTCAATAAAGATTAGGCTTACTGGCTGCTTTGCTTCTCAATATTCTCTGGTTGGCCTCTGTTATTTTCTCCTACCGATGGAGAACCTACAAAGGACTCTATAAGGGCTTTTGTGTCCCCCATATGGGAATAAGGGCAGATTCTGTTTACAACAATAGTTACTAGTCTCCTTGGCTTGTGGGTTGCAGAACTCCATACCCTCCAACATTTCTCCAGTGAAAATGGGGATGTCCTAAGGAAAAGAAGGATATTCCAGGATCAAATCAGAAACCTGTGAATCCGGGACTGTCCCTGGAGAATAGGGACACCTGGAGGGTCTGCTGTCTCCTGGTCAAAAGTCATTTATTTCTGTATTGGGAATAAATCGCTCTTCTCTCTGAGGAAAACAGAGCTTAATTTGACACAGGTTTAACTAGGAACACAGCCACAAAACCCATTTTCAGTGCCAGGGCTTGGCCAAGAATCTCATGTTTTGAGTCCGAGACCTCGCCGTGTAAGCAACCCATGCCTCTGTGTTCTCTTTTCGGACACGATGCGGAAACGTTGGCCCCTTTATGATTGGCAAAAAAGTATCAGGCAGCTGAATTGGTTGGAGCAGGCATAAATACATAAAGCGTGACTCTCTTCCCTCGTCTGGTCAATATGGCAGAATATCCTGTCTGCTGCAGCACACCTGTAGGGCTCTACCTGCCCGAAGATCAGCGTTCGGAAGCCAGAGGTGGCCAGATGTAATTCCTCTCCCACAGGCAACTGGTGATGTAAAAGCTGAGCACTCGCCGCTTGCGCAATGCTGTGCGTGTGGCTCCAGATTAAACTCGGATGACCAATGGATACAGCCCTAGCGTACTGGAGACACCATTTTATGCACCCAGCACCTTGTATGCACACAATTCCTGAAGTCGCAGGGGATCTGCACATACATTTTTGTTGCTAGTTTGGGATGAATACGTTCTATATATCGAGATGGGGAAGGAGGAGGTGTCTAAACGGCAAGATTTGTAATAATCAGGGGAAGCATATTTGTGTGAGAGGTTTGAAATACATTACAATATCACAGGCGCTTTTTTATATAAAAAAGCTATTTTGTGGCATTTATCACCAATAAATAAAACATATCACAGTATGTTCCCTGCAACAGATCCATGATAAGTTAGTGGATAATGCATTGGCTGTGGTTGGAATTGGCTGAAAATAAATCTGTCCCCTCCAGTTAATGAATGACTTATTAAATTCAGTCCTTTGTCACCTTGTCTCAGTTGCTGTCCCTATTTCCAAAATATCCATCACTGTTAATGTTGGGATGGGAGGAACAGAATTAGTTGTTTTGGTTTTTTAAAAAAACACAAATTTTAAAAATGAGAAGGATTTTCTTAGAAACTCCTCAAACACCATGCAATTGATTGCAGCTGTATAAAATAGGCAGGGTTGTGGGTGGTAGAATTATGGGATGGGAAGGTCAGGGGCCACACAGCCCAGCAGAAATGGACCCTTTCTTCTTGGTGTCTATCTTCTGTCTCCTTACCAGGGACTCGGCTACATTAGTCAAGAAACAGTGTTTTGAATGCATTATAAACATGCAACACCAGATGGCACCAGAGAGCAAAATAAATTTCTAAACGTTTTTCATAGTGGTTCCCCCCCTTTTGTTATGATGATTTAATTTCTAACTTATTTATAGTGGGTTTTTCCCTGTGTGTAGATCCACCTCAGGTCTCAGGGTTTGAGCTGCAACTTCCGGCACTAGCCTCCTTTTCAGACTCTCCAGGGTAAGGAATAACATCTGAGAGTAAAAGGCCAGAGTCAAGGGGGCAGAATATTTTCTCCTTGGCACGATGAGAACTTCTGCTTGTTCTGCCTGCTCCCCCTCCCTCAAATAATAATTAAAAAATCTGGCTCCATCCCTGACGCATCCATCTACCTTTGGCTAGTGAGGTGTGCTGTGGTCTGTACTATGCCCAACTCAGGCCAGAAGTGGCTCACCAGGTGTGGTGATGCTGGTACCCTAGCTTCCTGGCAGGTGGGTTGCTGCTACTTGCAAGGAGAAAGAGGGGTGAGACGCCAGGGAGGTCAGCGCGGTGCAAATACCCTGTGAGGAATGGCGGATAGAGTCCGCTGGTGCCTTTGCACCATGCCAACTTCCTTATTGCCTTGCCTTACCTTCTTCCAGTAAGCAAAAGCAACCGCCCTAACTGGAAGTCAGCATAGCAGCTGCCCCACGCAGGGAAGCCTCCTCTCTGATCCAACAATCCAGCCTTTGAATGGTCAGGCGCTATCTTTCAGATTCCTGATTCTGCTACTTAAGTCTGAGCCTCAGCACACCTGCAAATCCGAGCCCCCTCCCCTTGCACAGAGCTCGGGGGTGGCCGCCGAGACCACATAACACCGGTCTTGAAAGACCTACATTGGCTCCCAGTACATTTCCGAGCACAATTCAAAGTGCTGGTGTTGACCTTTAAAGCCCTAAACGGCCTCGGTCCTGTATACCTGAAGGAGCGTCTCCTCCACCATCGTTCTGCCCGGACGCTGAGGTCCAGCGCCGAGGGCCTTCTGGCGGTTCCCTCATTGCGAGAAGCAAAGCTACAGGGAACCAGGCAGAGGGCCTTCTCGGTAGTGGCGCCCGCCCTGTGGAACACCCTCCCATCAGATGTCAAAGCGATAAATAACTACCTGACATTCAGAAGACATCTTAAGGCAGCCCTGTTCAGGGAAGTTTTTAATCTGTGATATTTTACTGTATCTTTGGTTTTTATGGAAGCCGCCCAGAGTGGCTGGGGAAACCCAGCCAGATGGGCGGGGTACAAATAATAAATTATTATTATTATTATTATTATTATACCACTTTCCATGTTCCCGAAGTGAAACCAAAAAGACATTGAGGCAGAGGCACGATGCTCAGGTGTGAAACAGAATTTAATTTTGAGGGTTGGTCTGTTGGTTGATTTTCTCGTGTGTCTGGGGGTGGGGGGGTTCTCCGCTTGCTCAGTTGAGGGTGAAACTTCTGGAGGTCAAAGCAGAAGTGATAGGAGAGCAAGGCGGGGAAAAGGTGATGGGGAAAGAGCGCCGTGTGACCGAACAACCAGAAAGAGAGAGAGAGAGAGAGAGAGAGCGGTCTGAGCAGGATGCGGATCACAACAACACGCCCACAATGCACTGACCCACAACACCCCACAAAGCATGGCATAAGGACCCAGTGTATTGCAGCAGCACAGGTGCCTTGGTGTCGCCCGAAAACACAAACCAAAAGAACTTTCAGATCAGTCGCAGGTGTAGGTATGGCACCGCACAGACAAACACACACACACACACCCCGCCCGAAACAAAAAGAGAAAACAAAACTTGAAGGCTGGCAGGGACAGGCTAGAACATACAGAAACTTGCTGTTGACAGTAAGCGCTACGAAGGTTTTAAACACCGTCATAATCCAGGAGTTAAACACAGACTCCCAGCGGCAACAAAGGAAGGGGGAACACAGGGCGAACTTCTGCCACGCACGCCCTCACCACACGTCCAGACAAACATGCTCACAGCACTTGACACCGGGGTGCAACGATGATTCAAGCAGGCCCAGAGAGAAGACACTGCGCAACACACGCAAAGCTGGCTTGGAGCACCGCAGAGGGAAGCTTCATTCTCCACACGTCTTGGAGGGGGAGGCTCCAGTGAGAGGCCAGAGGAGGTAGCTGGAATGGGGAGAGGAGACAGAGGAGCCGGGGAAATGGAGGGTGTGGTCTAAAGGGGCACTCAGAGTCTGTGCACTGGGGAAGTCAGCAGGCAAGCCAGAGTGTGCCCAGGGCAGGGCTTATAGGACGCTCGGGTTACGGAAGTTGTGCCCGGCAAAGTGGGCTTCGTCGCCAAGCTCTTCCTCAATCCTGTGGAAGGCAGAGAGAAAGGCGGGCCGTTATATTCACTCTACAGGTCCTGCTTCACAGAGCAGACGTAAACCAGAGACGGTTAGGTTCTGCTGGAATTAAAGCACAGAAGTCAATTACCGTATTTTTTGCTCACTTTTTCCCTCCTAAAAAGTAAGGGGAAATGTGTGTGCATCTTATGGAGCGAATGCAGGCTGCGCAGCTATCCCAGAAGCCAGAACAGCAAGAGGGATCGCTGCTTTCACTGCGCAGTGATCCTTCTCTCTGTTCTGGCTTCTGAGATTCAGAATATTTTTTTTCTTGTTTTCCTCCTCCAAAAACTAGGTGCGTCTTGTGGTCTGGTGCGTCTTATAGAGCGAAAAATACGGTATGTTAAAGGCCCCCCGCTGTACAAGCTACAGGTTGGGAAGGCCCTAGCAGGCGCGTCTTATCCATAGACGTTAGTGGCACCAGATTTTGGAGGGCGCCACAAGCTGAGTGTCTGGGAAGGAGAGTCAGGCCACGCTCCCTTCCCCATTCTTGTGCAGCCTCCTCCTCTCCTCTCAGCCACCCATCAGAGCATGCTGCGTCCGGCTCAGGGAAGCCCCTTTGCGTCCCCTCCTGCTGGGGCTGCCTGGGCGCCTGGCAGGTGCAATTGGGGGCGGGCGAAGGGCTGGGCAGGCGTGTCTCTCCTGCTCCTCTCTGGCTGCGTCGCTGCCTGCGCACCTCCCTGCGGAGTCTGCGAGCGGAGCAGGGAAGCGTCCTGTGCAATCCTGGCACCGAGCGAGGATGGGACAGCCGGCGAGCCACCTGATCTGCTTGCTGGCCTTCCTGTCGCATGGACTTCCCTGGACGGGGGTAGGTAAGGGGCGCTGGGCGCTTAGAGGGAGGCTTTGCAAGAAGGCACGGAAGGCCGTCTGGGTGCCTCCGGGTGCCTCTTACTTACGTGCAGCGCCAAGCACGCGTCGGACCCTGCAATGTAAACGAGCCGGACCGAAGGCCCCCCCCCACCTTAATAAAGGTTGACAACTCTGGGAAACTGGGGGGGGGGACGCTGGAGAGATATTGGCACCGAATATGCTTAAGACGGCCCTGGAACTCCATTCGACTTCCAAAATGTTCGGAAACCAAGAGGCGGCTTCCGATTGGCTGCCGGAAGCTCCCGCAGCCAATTAGAAGCAGTGGAAACCATGCTGGACATTTGGGTTCCAAAGAACGTTTGCAAACCTGAACACTCACTTCCAGGTTTGCGGCATTCAGGAGCCAAAACGTTTGACTCGCCAGGCATTCAGCATCCAAGGTATGACTGTATAAACCAGGCATAGACCAACTCGGCCCTCCATATGTTTTGGGACTACAATTCCCATCATCCCTGACCACTGTTCCAGTTAGATGGTGGGAATTGTAGTCCCAAAACATCTGCAGGACCGAGTTTGCCTATGCCTGGTGTAAACTGACAGTGCGTCCCTCAATTTCCTGTGGCATTGCATGATAGAAGCTGAAAGAGATCTTAGACTTACACACTGTTCCATCATTGACAACCATATGTCAGGAGTGCTCTGATGGTGTTTCCTGCTTGGCAGGGGGTTGGACTCGATGGCCCTTGGGGTCTCTTCCAACTCTATGATTCTATGATTCTATGATAGTGGGTGTGATGGTCCACCTACACTCAAGTCTCCCCTAAGCTCTGCAATGGTGAATAGCTCCCAAAAGCTGCCAGCATGCATTCACCCATTGCACAGAGGCCGACTCCTGCTGGAAGGCAAACTGATAATATGCCAGCATTTTCCCTCTTGTTTCTTACCTCATTAACTGATTGTATTTTGCCAGTCGCTCGGACCTGCATGGCGCTCCCGTCTTTATCTGCAAAAGTCAATGTCAATGCAACAGTATTTTATGGAGGGTCCACACCAGCATTACAAACGGGAACAGGCGCATCATGAGCAAAGGCCATGAGTGAATAGCGGATATTTTAAATTGGCTTTTGCTTGTGCAGTTTGGCAACTCTTTACTTCTGGTAAATAAGCCACCACAGCTGTTAGAGGACTGTCAAAATTTGTGTCCCAGTCTTTTTAGACTTGTCTACCCATGTACTATGGAATGCGGGTGGCGCTGTGGGTTAAACCACAGAGCCTAGGGCTTGCCGATCGGAAGGTCGGCGGTTCGAATCCCTGCGACGGGGTGAGCTCCCGTCGCTCGGTCCCTGCTCCTGCCAACCTAGCAGTTTGAAAGCACATCAAAGTACAAGTAGATAAATAGGTACTGCTCTGGTGGGAAGGTAAATGGCGTTTCCGTGCGCTGCTCTGGTTCACCAGAAGTGGCTTAGTCATGCTGGCCACATGACCCAGAAGCTGTACACCGGCTCCCTTGGCCAGTAAAGCGAGATGAGCGCCACAACCCCAAAGTCGTCCTCAACTGGACTTAACGGTCAGGGGTCCCTTTACCTTTTTACCCATGTACTATCTGAAACCAAAGGGGTGCGTTGGCTGCCAGATATGGAATACCTTGGGATTACAGTGGTACCTTGGTTCTCGAACTTAATCCATTCCAAGAGTCTGTTTGACTTCCGAAATGTTCGAAAACCAAGGCACAGCTTCCGATTGGCTACAGGAGCTTCCTGCAGTCAAGCAGAAACCGCGTTGGATGTTTGGCTTCTGAAAAAAGTTTGTAAACCAGAACACTTACTTCCGGGTTTGCAACGTTTGGGAGCTGATTTGTTCGACAACTAAGCCATTCAAGAACCAAGGTGCCACTGTATTTTCAATTCTCCTCCCCCACTATTCTACAATGGGACACTTAAGTTATCTCTGGCTGTAGAAAGAGATTATGTCTCTACACTGACATGGTTGATCCAGCCTTCACCTGTTTCTTCTCCAGAGAACACCCAAGACACGTTTTCTCCCCGCCCAGAACTTACCTGGCCAGTACAGAGTCCCACCACCAGGTCCGCAATGAAGGTGTCTTCAGTCTCCCCTGATCGGTGACTCACCATCACCCCCCAGCCGTTTTCCTGGGCCAGTTTACAGCTGTGGAGGGAGACAAGGAACTCAGTGGATTTGCCTCAGTCCCAAGTCCCAACAGGTCTAATGTTCTTGGAAGGGAACGCGACTGGGCACTAGTGGAACAGAGCGGTTTGGCTGAACTCACGCTTGGATGGCCTCGGTGACTGATCCAATCTGGTTGACTTTCAGCAGGAGGCAATTGCAGGCCTTGTCTTCCACAGCTCGCTCGATGCGTTTGGGGTTGGTCACAGTCAGGTCGTCCCCCACAATCTGAATCCCAACGTTTGCTGTGAACTTGGACCAGGCCTCCCAGTCATCCTGATCAAATGGATCCTCGATCGACACCACTGCAGAGAGAAGGGGGAAATGAGAGTACAGTGGTACCTTGGTTCTCAAACTTAATCCATTCCAGACGTCCATTCCAAAACCAAAGCGTTCCAAAACCAAGGCACGCTTTCCCATAGAAAGTAATGCAAAATGGATTAATCCGTTCCAGACTTTTAAAAACAACCCCTAAAACAGCAATTTAACATGAATTTTACTATCTAACAAGAACATTGATCCATAAAATGAAAGCAATAAACGATGTACTTGCAGTCATGCAATCAATCAGTGGATGAACTGGGTTCCACACAGTCACAAAAAAGAAAAAAAAGAGTCACAAAAATGCAAGATAAATAGGAAAAACAGACAGACCTCAACGTAACACTCAAAACAGAAGTGTGGCACTCAAATCAGAAGTGTAACACTAAAAATGGAGAACGTTCGGCTTCTGAAAAAAAGTTCACAAACTGGAACACTTACTTCCGGGTTTGCAGTGTTTGGGTCCCAAGTTGTTTGAGTACCAAGGCGTTTGAGAACCAAGGTACCACTGTATTGCAGCAACCCATTGCTCCTGTTCCCATTCAGCAAAGAGCAAAAAACTTCCACAATCTGGTGCCTTGGTACTGAGGCTTTAGGCATGGTGGACTCACCTGGGTAATCCCTTACAAAGCTTTGGTACAGGTCACCCAGCTCATCAGCAGAGATGTAGCGGCTGGGGTCATCGGGGGATTTGAAGTCCAAGTCATATTTTCCGTCTCTGTAGAATTCCGATGCGGCCACATCCATGCCGATCACAATCTTGTCAGTGTAGCCAGCTTTCTCAATGGCTTCCTTAAGGAGTTCCAGAGCTGAGAGGTAGGAAAGGAGAGAAACTCGGATTTTGCAAGCATCTGCCATGTTTGAAAACTATCTTTTAAGGCTCTTCAGCTTCGAGACCAATTTGTGCAGTGGCCTGTTTATCAAGCATGTACCCTAATATATTTGCACAGAGGTTAGACAATAATGCCAGCTAGTAGTTGTTATCCCTCACTTTCTTGTGCAGTTTTCCATCACACTTTCCTTGTTGGACTTCTGGCAATGTGGAAAGCGATGGGATATTTGCCCTAGAAGCTGGGGGATAATCACAAAAGTGTGTGTAAATCAACAGCTACTAAACCAAATAGTACTGAATGCACAGACAAGGAACAAGGAAAGTGGTGGTGTGGCCCTGTCGATGGGGAACAGAAGTAGCCAATTATGGAGCCATTAACAAGAGTGAGGAATCACTTCTTTTGCTATGCCTGTTGTGAAAAACTCCTTTTCTGACAAGGCAGCTTAGAACCTTTTTAGCATCTCAGCAATCCCTCACAGAGAGGTGAACATCCCCCAGCCTAGGCCTTGGCTTTGGGAGAGACAGTGCTTCCCCCCCCCCCAAGAAAAATAGGTGCTCGCCATGAAGATGTTACAGTTAAATCACTGGGGCAACCCAGTGCCGGTTTGACAACAGCCACATTCACCACCTGTGGAGGTGCTAAAAACTACAGCAAATGGTCTCATCTGCTGGTTTGGGGTCACTCCTGGTTCTGGAGCAAGTCAAATAAATGTGCCCCCCACCTCCCTTGCTCTCTTAGATTCAGGCCGATGTGGAGGGCAGCTGGGAAGGGCCCAGTGTCGTTGCGGCAATGCTGCCAGATGGGTGGGGGTATAAACATTATTATTATTATTTAGGGCGTTCCTATTTCCATTGGGGGTGGGATGCAGATGGCGCTGTGGGTTAAACCACAGAGCCTAGGACTTGCCAATCAGAAGGTCGGCGGTTCGAATCCCTGCGACAGGGTGAGCTCCCATTGCTCTGTCCCTGCGCCTGCCAACCTAGCAGTTCGAAAGCACGTCAAAGTGCGAGTAGATAAATAGGTACCGCTCTGGTGGGAAGGTAAATGGCATTTCCGTGTGCTGCTCTGGTTCGCCAGAAGTGGCTTAGTCATGCTGGCCACATGACCCGGAAGCTGTACGCCGGCTCCCTCGGCCAGTAAAGCAAGATGAGCGCCGCAACCCCAGAGTTGGTCATGACTGGACCTAATGGTCAGGGGTCCCTTTACCTTTACTTTATTTTCATTGGAGAAATGTTGGAGGCCATGCAGTGCCTATGCCAAACCTCTGTTGTCAATAAAATTGTGGCCTGATTTGATCCTCAAGGACCGCCTCTTTCCATAGGAACCTACCCAGACCCTGAGATCATCTTCTGAGGCCCTCCTTCGTGTGCTGCCTCCTCGAGAGGTCCAGAGGGTGGCAACAGGAGAACGGGCCTTCTCTGCAGTGGCTCCCCATCTGAGGAATGCTCTCCCCAGATAAGTTTGCTGGGCGCCTTCATTATACACCTTTAGGCACCAGGCAAAAACATTCCTTTTTAACCAGGCCTTTGGTTGATCTGATTTACATCCTATGCCCTTTTAAATATGAGGTTTTTTTGGTGGAGGGGAGTATTGGGTTGCTGTTTTTATTTTCATTAGGTATTTTGTGATTTTATATCTTGATTTTATTCTGAGAACTGCCCTGAGACCCCCCGGGTATAGAGCGGCATATAAATTCAAATAATAATAATAATAATAATAATAATCCCATTCAAGCTGTGTTGTGTCATTCACAATTACTACTCAGTGGGAGAAGTGCAGGGAGTGCAGAGCCCGGGCATGCAAGTAATTCCACACTCTGTTCTTGTTCTCACCTTCACTGTTCTCCAGGATGTTAGGGGCAAAGCCTCCTTCGTCACCCACATTGGTGGCATCCTTGCCATACTTGTCCTTGATCACACCCTTGAGATTGTGATAGACCTCGGCACCGATGCGCATGGCGTCCCGGAAGCTTTCAGCCCCAACTGGCAAGATCATGAACTCCTGCATGGCCAGCTTGTTCCCAGCGTGGGAGCCCCCGTTGATCACGTTGAAGGCCTGGGAGAGTTCGGGAAGAAGAAAGACATGAAACTCGCTTAGAGGACACCTACACGGTCAATTGACATGGTTTGTGTTAGTTTCTGTTTGCCACTGAGCAGCTGCTTAGAGTCACAAGGCTCTGTTTACATTCCAGAGACAGTCCAGGCTATTGGAAGTCTCACAGGAGAAGGGAGACGGATGTGACGTACTGGTTTCTCTGTTCCTTTGTTCCTTTGTTCCAGTTGCTCTCTGCTCTCACAGAGTGAGGATGTATTTTTCTGTCTGCGTAGCTTAGAAATAAAGCATAGCATGTAGCCATAAATCTCATCACTTCTGCGTGCTGTTTTGGATTCTCTGCTGAATGGGGATGTGCCTGGAGCCTTATCAGAGGCTCAGGTCGTCAATCACGTCAGGGGCGACTGGGCCGGAAGATGAGCTTTATCAGCTCGGTCGAACGAAGATCCCGACAGTTCGTGCGGGCCTTAACTGTCATGGCTTCCCACGAAATGCCCTGGAAGCCGAGGTTCCGTGAGGGTCCTGAGAATGTCTTGTTAGCAACCCAAAGATTTTACATGGAACCAATCGTAAGGCTGCATTCTAATGTGAGGTTTATTGCATGAGCTTTACTGGCTATTCTGCTAGTGCTTCCAACCCGATTTCCAACATTCCTTTTATACTTCGCTACCTGTTGTGTTATGGGACTGTGGCTTTTTGAGGGATATTACATCATGTCGTGCTATTTCAAAAGGCGGAAAAGAACCTTATGCCGGGATAAACTTCCAGTTTCATCCTGTAAGTGGCAGCAGCACGATCAAGAAAAGTCCAAGCAAAGTTTGCACAGTTTCCAAGTTAGTGGTGCTGCAGATTGATTTCCCCTCCTGGAAACAACTGAAATTGAAATGAGTACTAAACTTCTGCTAGCTTCCACCCGATTTCCAGAAGTAGATAGAGAAAATGAAAAATTTCTTGTTTTTTATTACATACTCTGAGCCACTTAATAGGTTAACGATTATCTAACTTGATTGTTGTTCTCTGTTAGCTAACATGTGAATGTTGTAACCTTAGGTCATGTGAGAGGTATTGGGTTGCAAATCTCCCTTTTTGAAAGGGAGTTGCCTTTAGACTTTGTCTCCCAAATGCCATGGAGTGAGGATATAAATGAAGCTCTCCTGAAGGGAGAGTACACAGCCAGCGGCCAATGGAGGCCGGAATCCGGGCTGTGGAAAGAGAGAAAGAGACCTTTGCTTACAGGTCTGTTTGGATTATTTCATATTTTGCAAGATGCTGAGTCCATACAAGACATTGTATGGATATTTTGGTTGTATTTTTGATGCTTATGTTTGTTCTGAAGAGTTCTGACAGTAAAAGTTTAAATTTTTATTTTTATGGGCCTGGACAATGATTCCTTTCCAAAAGGGGTTAGTTCTTATGCTTCCAGTCACTTCAAACTGCACAAAAATAATATCTACAACAATGCAGGGCTGAAGCAAGGTTACACTTGCAGGGTGGCGATAAAGGGTATGCAGAGAACTGAGGTAGGTGTGACCTCTCTTCTCCTAGTAAGGGATTTCCATTTCCTTGCATATATGGTTACTCTACAGCCTCCGGCTTCCCTTTGGGTTCTCCTTGTGAAATCGGGAGTGATTAAATGCTTACCGGTACTGGCAGAATGAGATCAGAATTTCCAGCCAGGTCAGCGATGTGTCGGTAGAGGGGAATGTCCTTCTCCGCAGCCGCCGCTTTGCACACAGCCAGGGAGACACCCAGGATGGCATTGGCTCCAAACTTGGCTGTGAACATCGTCAAAATTAGGTGACCACCATCAATGGCCCTTTGCTCAGGACAATTCAACAAAGCAATATATAGGTTCCCTGGCCCCAAAGATCATACAATCAACTTTCCAGCCCCACAACACCCGCTACTAGTCTAGTCCTGGATTCCTTGTGTTATAGATTATGGGGGTGTTGGCAGCTAAACCCTATAAAATAGTAGGGTTTTGATTAATTGGGATATGGATGAAAGTACAAGCTGCAGAATTGTGGCAGACAAGGAATCCCTGGGCTGGCTTATGCAACTGGAAAATCTGTTAACATGACAAAAGGGGTTGGATGGGCCATCCTTTGGCCTGGGGAGACAAATGGTGCCCAGGTGATGGGTGGGTGTATTTGCAGTGACAGGAAAAGAGAGTTTTTGAGCAAGGGGGGCTGGGAAGAAGAAGGAAGAAGAAAGACTGGGATCCATCTTGGGCAGGCTGGCTGAAGGCTGGCTGGGAATGATGCCTTGGACTCCATTGGCTGCACTGCTGTGGGGGAAGAACTCTCTCTAAATGACCATGTTGTAAGATCTGGACCCCCTCCATGCAGACTAACATTGTAAACAGGTGAATAAACCACATTTCTTAAAACTATGTCAGTCTCTGCTGTGTCTCAATTTTCTAAAGGAACACAGGTGAGTGCCTGGAACCCTATGGAAACTTGCAGAGAGTCGGGGTGGCACACGACTTTTTTTAAACTTCCATACCTCAGCTAGTGCATTTTAATTTTGCTGTAAAGTTCCTGGCTGCTCCCCCAACTTGCCCCTCCGGCCCCCTCCCATAAGACTTTTTGTTATGAATAGAGAGGCATTACATTTATTCTCTGTCCCGTCCATCTCCAGCATGAGGCTGTCGATCTTCTCTTGCTCCACGACTGAAAGGCCCTGCAGAAAGAAAACATCTCTCAGATTGGAAGTCTGGATAAAAGGCTGCCTTGGGGACTTCCAGACAGAGGACACTTTGGGCAGGTCCACACAATACGTTTAAAGCACATCTGACACACATTGAAAGCACATGACTTCCTCCCAAAGCATACTGGGAATTGTAGTTTGTTAAGACTGCTGGGAATCGCCTGCTCTATGAGGGGGAAACTACAGCACCCAGGATTCTTTGAGGTAAGGTATGCGCTTTAAATGTATGGTGAAGATGTGCTGTATTGTTTTTAACACTCGATTGGGAGCCGCCCAGAGTGGCTGGGGAAACTCAGCCATATGGGCAGGGTATAAATAAATTGTTGTTGTTGTTGTTGTTATCCTAGTGCTACAAATAATTGATTTTCGGCTGCAAGCTATAGACAGAATTGCAGCTGACCATCTACCCTTCAGTTCTGTCCATTTCTCACTGGTGAACTCTTCTCCTGTCATTTAGAAGTGAGGGCATCTCAACACCATTTTGGCACCGACTTTTATTTATGCTTGTGTTGTTGGCTGGGTTTTTAAAAATAATTCATGAAGTAGCACATTAACGAAAATTAAAAAGGGGTCTTAAAGCACAGGGCAAGATGATTGCAGCTAATCTGACTTCTGAGTAAACGTGGTTACCAACTGGGCTGTAAGTCCCACATACCCTCTGACATTTCTCTGATGAAAATAGGAACATCTGCTTTTCTTTTGGACATCCCTATTTACCTCAGAGAAATGTTGGAGGGTATGGAGTTATGTGACCCCCAAACCAAGAAGAACCTTTAGAAGACACCTGTACAGGGAAGTTTTTAAACGCATTATTATGTTCTCATATATTTTGGAAGCCTCAGTGGCTGGGGCAGCGTAGTCAAATGGGCTGCGTATGAATAATAATTATAATTATTATTATTTCCCACTTTCCCTTAGGATGTCTCTATTTTCAATGGAGGGTATGGCGTTATGTGACCCCCCAAGCCAAGGAGATAAAGTAACTATACAACTTTTAGAAGACATCTGAAGGCAGCCCTGTTCAGGGAAGCTTTTTAATGTTTAATGTTTTATTATGGTTTTTATATATGTTGGAAGATGCCCAGAGTGGCTGGGGCAACCCAGTAAGATGTGTGGTGTATAAATGATAATGATAACAACAACAACAATTATTACATGTTACTACTACTACTACTGTTATGGAATAAGAAGTCCCTACTTTCACTGGAGAAATGTTGGAGGATATACTAGTCATATTTGCAACTTGCCTAGAAAACTTGATTTTCCCTGCTTGTTTGTAGAAGAAGAAGAGTTTGGATTTGATATCCCGCCTTTCACTCCCTTTAAGGAGTCTCAAAGCGGCTCACATTCTCCTTTCCCTTCCTCCCCCACCACAAACACTCTGTGAGGTGAGTGGGGCTGAGAGACTTCAGAGAAGTGTGACTGGCCCAAGGTCACCCAGCAGCTGCAGGTGGAGGAGAGGAGACGCGAACCCGGTTCCCCAGATTACGAGACTGCCGCTCTTAACCACCACACCACACTGGCTCTCTATTCTATTGTACAACTGTGGGCGGGGGGGGGGGGAGTGTCAGCAACGGAGGGTTGTAGCCCTACAGGACTGCAGCTGGAATCTACACAAATTTGCTCAGATGTAAGCAGTAGAAGGTTGGAAGTTGGCAATTGTACAGGATTACAGCCAGAACCTGCACTGCTGTTTTCGATGTAATCTACTAATTAAATAGCAAATTGAAGTGTGTGGTTTGAGGGAACCTAATTCCAGGAAGCAAGCAATTAATTAAAGCGGAGAGCCAGTTAATCAGGGGAATAGACTTGCAGTGCCGGGCATGAAACTGAAAATACACAGCAAGCAACAGGGCAGAGGCGAGGAACCTGGCTCTCCCCACCCTCCTCAGATTTCATTGGACTCAATTTCCCATCAGCCTCAGGAAGCCACAACTCCTCCCATCGCACCGCAGTCCTGCATTTTCCTATCCACACCTCCAAAGAGATTGTACTGCTATTCGGCTTTTCTCTTCCTTAATGGATTTTTCACAGTGGGGAAAAAATGGTGAAAGGGATGGCAAAAGGCAGGAGGGTCACAACACTATCTGGACTGCCCGTAAAAGGCATGAAGGAGGCACGGCGACTGCAGATTAAAAGCCCCCTCTGGAAATATCCACAATGTTCTTGATCAGCGGTACCCAAACTTAGGTCTCCAGCTGTTTTGGAACTATAATTCCCATCATCCCTGACCACTGGTCTTGCTAGCTAGGGATGATGAGAGCTGTAGTCCAAAAACAGCTGGAGACCCAAGTTTGGCCTTTTCTGGTTATTGAATCAATGCTCTATCAGGACTCAGCTATACAGCTTCAAATAAAACGTTTTAAGTGTGTTTTAAGTGCAGCGGGTGGCGCTGTGGGTTAAACCACAGAGCCTAGGACTTGCCGATCAGAAGGTCGGTGGTTCGATTCCCCGCAATGGGGTGAGCTCCCGTTGCTCAGTCCCTGCTCCTGCCAACCTAGCAGTTCGAAAGCACCTCAAAGTGCAAGTAGATAAATAGGTACTGCTCTGGTGGGAAGGTAAACGGCGTTTCAGTGCACTGCTCTGGTTCGCCAGAAGCAGCATAGCCATGCTGGCCACATGACCCGGAAGCTGTACGCCAGCTCCCTCGGCCAGTAAAGCGAGATGAGTGCCGCAACCTCAGAGTCAGTCACAACTGGACCTAATGGTCAGGGGTCCCTTTACCTTACTTTAAGTGCAATATGCAATGTGACACCAGATGACACTAGGTGAGCCTTATAGAAAATTCAACGTATTTTTAAAAATGCTTTTTAAAAAATAAAGCATTTTCATAATGGTTTTTATATGTGTATAGATTCCATCTCGGGACACGGGTGGCGCTGTGGGTAAAAGCCTCAGCGCCTAGGGCTTGCCGATCAAAAGGTCGGCGGTTCGAATCCCCGTGGCGGGGTGCGCTCCCGCTGCTCGGTCCCAGCGCCTGCCAACCTAGCAGTTCGAAAGCACCCCTGGGTGCAAGTAGATAAATAGGGACCGCTTACTAGCGGGAAGGTAAACGGCGTTTCCGTGTGCGGCTCTGGCTTGCCAGAGCAGCGATGTCACGCTGGCCACGTGACCCGGAAGTGTCTGCGGACAGCGCTGGCTCCCGGCCTATAGAGTGAGATGAGCGCACAACCCCAGAGTCTGTCAAGACTGGCCTGTACGGGCAGGGGTACCTTTACCTTTACCTAGATTCCATCTCATGCTTCCTTCAGGTTTCAAAAGCTGTTGTCCGTACACAGGATTGGTTCTGTCACTGCTCTTTACAAAGGCCTCTGGAGGAAAAGGTATTCCTCCATCCTTTGACAGTGCGCACACACACACACACACACACACACACACACATGCACACAGAGAGATAGTATGTCGAGCATCCAGAAAACAAAGCAGGCTGAAATGAAGGGACAGATAGAGATAGATAGATAGATAGATAGATAGAAGATAGATAGAGAGAGAGAGAGAGAGAGGATGAAAGACCAGCAAGTTGAGCCAATGAGAAAAGCAAAGGGGGATCCTTACACAGCTCACGAGAGCAGGGGCAATGGTGCTGTTGATGTGATCCACCGCCTGCAGGACCCCTACAGAAGGAAAAAGACACAGAGAGTGTCAGACAGAGGCAGAAGGAAATAAGAGGCAGAGAAAGGAAGGCAGACAAGGCCACACACTCTTCACCGTGGAATTTCACTGGCTGACACCTTTCGGCCAGCCCAAAAGCAGAAAAACACACACACACATACAGAGAGAGAGAGAGGACTCTGGAACTATTGTTTGTCATTCTATGGGCAGAAGCCTGGAATACCCCTACCTTTCCCAAGGAATCTGGACTTATCGTTGTCACGCAGCTCTAGAGCTTCGTAGATGCCAGGTGGAAGCGCCACTGGGAACAGCTGCCCGGAACATCCCTAGGGAGGAGCAAAAACCAAGGTGGAAAACATCAAGGGGAGGAGCCATGAACATCACTTAAGCCCACAACTCTTCTCTGATGAAACAGCTGCCTTGTCATTTTAAGGAAGTTGTTAAATTGTGGGTCAACATATCAGATGACACAGCGATTCTTCAAACAGCTCTTGTTTATTCACAGGCCAGAACAGAACTGAACTGAAGGGTTCAGCCAGCCTGCTTATATAGAGCTCCACTAGAACGCAACAGTAACCATTTTCTGTAACTATCCAATCACTGAACATCACTTTCGATCCCTTATTTGCATAACTATCTACAGTATCCCCTGCTGGCCGAGGGTGAGAACTTCAGTACATAACAGAAGTCACCAGCTCTTTTCTTTAAAAATAATAATAAAAAAATACAGCTGGTGTTTTCTAACCAAACTCTCCATAAGAAGTCCACCTACTTCCACTTTTGACTGTTTATGACCAATGAATCCGAAGACTAATTAAATCAAATTAACACTGTTAGGTTAAATCACTTTAAAATACCTGTTTTCCAATTTTTTGCTTAAAACCCTGAACTAAGATTATCCTTCACAATGTACATATAGGTAGGGCTTCATACATTTGGGATTTGCCGGACATATCCAGGATTCATCCGTCGAAAACAGCATCTGGGCAGAATTTCCAAAAACTGGTAAAAATGTCTGGGGAAACCTGGGCTTATGGCAACCCATGCCGGAAGTGTTCAAAAACCTCTCTCTTTTTTGGAGATTTTGCTGAACAACTTTCGTGTCCTGATTTTCACTTTCTGAAATACAGCAACCCTAGTTTAGACCCACTAACTAACTCAAAGGTTTCTGGCTTTGGCCTGGCCTAAACTTCTCTGCATAACCACTGAAATCCTTGTCGGCTGTGTATGTGTGATGAGATCTGTTGCCAGCTGTGAGGCTGCTCCAGCAATGGTCTCTATCCACCTTGTGTGCAGGTAAGTCGAAGATCAGAGCAGAATAATGCAGCATCCTATCAGAATCTGTGTACATGCAATACTTTTGAAGTACTTTCGCAGCACATCCCTTTCCGCAAAGGGTTCTGGCCACTGTAGTTTATCCCTCACAGCTACAGTTCCCAGCAAGTCATAGCAAACCCATAATTATTAGAGGGAAAGGATGTGCTTTGAATGTGCTTTAAAGGAATGGTGCATAACACAGCTTTAGAGAGCCTCTTGATGCTATAAAGCAGGATATAATATCCACAGAATCATAGAATTGGAAGGGACCAATGCAGTAATATTTTCCCCAATGTGGGGCTCAACCCGAAAACCCTGAGATTAAAAGTCTTGTGCTGTACCAACTGAGCTATATTCTAAATTAAAATAAGAGGTTTGTATCTGGAGAAATGCAATTCTCCTCCCTGAGAGCACACACATCACTATTGTGTCTAGTGATTGCAATAATGTCTAAGGCAGACATGGCCAAACTTGGCCCTCCAGCTGTTTTGGGACTACAATTCCCATCATCCCTGACCATTGGTCCTGTTAGCTAGGGATGATGGGAGTTGTAGTCCCGAAACAGCTGGAGGGCCAAGTTTGGGGATGCCTGAGTCTAAAGCATCTAAGGCATGACTAGGTACCATAAAACACAAGCCCTCCAAGTGTCCCTATTTTCCAGGGGCAGTTCCAGATTTACAGAATCCATCCCAGAATTTGATACAAGAATGGTCTGATTTCCTTTAGGACATCCCTATTTTCAGTGGAGGGTATGGTGTTATGTGACCCCCAAGCCAAGGAGATAAGTAACTATACAACTTTTAGAAGACATCTGAAGGCAGCCCTGTCTAGGGAAGCTTTTTAATGTTTAATGTTTTATTATGTTTTTATAGATGTGGGAAGCCATCCAAAGTGGCTGGGGCAACCCAATCAAATGGGTGGGGTAGTAGTAGTAGTAATAATAATAATAATAATAATAATAATGGAATAGGACATCCCTATTTCCATCAGAGAAATGTTGGAGGGTATGGTACCCACCATTTCATTATTTTCATAGTTAGCTGCAAACAGCTATTTCACTGCAGCAAGGCTATCTATCCCCCTTGCAGGAAACTAGACCCAGCATTAATTAATTTAGTTTTTTGTTATGTAAATTGAAAACTTGGGGAAGGCAAAGGGGCTGTGCGGGTGGGGTGGCAACACTGAACCATTTCTCTCCAAAGCTGCTTTTTGCATTACACTGGAAGCCTACGCTGGCACCAACGGACGCTTCCCTGAAATGCAAATAGCAGCTTCAGGGCAGCAATTTCTGCTAGACACAGGCAGGGGAACAGCTTGGCTTCTACCTCACCCCCCTGGGTCAAGCCTGATGGACAAGGGTGGCGGAGTGAATAGCAAAAGCTGTCCTCAGACCAATGAGGAAATTGTCTGCCCCCTTGAGTCTGCCTTCCCAGGCACAGATTTTACTCCTGAGAATCTGAGGGGCAGCTGGTGTGCCTCAGTGTTTGCAGGTAAGTACATAGGTAAAGGGACCCCTGACCATTAGGTCCAGTCGTGACCGACTCTGGGGTTGCGGCACTCATCTCGCTTTATTGGCCCAGGGAGCCGGCGTACAGCTTCCGGGTCATGTGGCCAGCATGACTAAGCCGCTTCTGGCGAACCAGAGCAGTACACGGAAACGCCATTTACCTTCCTACCGGAGTGGTATCTATTTATCTACTCGCACTTGACTTGCTTTCGAAGTGCTAGGTTGGCAGGAGCAGGGACTGAGCAACGGGAGCTCACCCTGTCACAGGGATTCGAACCGCCGACCTTCTGATCGGAAAGTCCTAGGCTCTTTGGTTTAACCCACAGCGCTACCCGCGTCCTAGTTAAGTACATATTTATGCCAATTAAAGCATTTTTATTTGGTTGTCTCTCAGACACCTGACACGGCAAGCGCTTCAGCAATGGATACAGGGCTGGTAGCTGTGCTTCATGGGCTAAATTCTCATCACCTCGACCCTGAGGCCTGTGGAAAGGTGTATGCGTGTGAGACTGGGGAATGAAACCCAGGCACTGCTGTTTGCTTAAAAGAAAGCCAGGGCAGCGGGAGTCTGAATATGTCTCATTTCTCTGCCTTTCCCAACCGTCTCCTGCTCCAAAAGTGGGGATGCATCACAGAGCGTGGCTAAAATTAGATGCTTTTGCTGTGTGATGACTTTGCTGGGGAGAGGGAGAGAGGGAGAGGCACAGCTCCAGCCTCAGGCCATCTCTGCTTGGCGCCTGCTGCCCTTTCCGGCTCGCTGCCTTGGGACTGAGCTAATCCGTTAGCAGCACGATGCCCTGGACTGCGGCTGAGATCCCAGCTGCCTCCTGCAGTTTGCTGCCCCTCCACCAACACGTACCTTTAGCTGTGTACAAATCCACCTCCACGGTTGGATTCCCACGAGAGTCCAGGATCTCCCGAGCGTGAACCTTCTCAATAGACATGGCGGAGCTGGTCTTTCCTGGAGGAGAACAAACAGAGAGGAAAATGGGACCTGGAATTTTGGTTCCAATGCCCTTGCTGTTCCATGATCTCTTACACCACCCCCAGTTGCATCGAAGGGCCACTTGGCCTCAGTATGGGATGAACGGCATGATAAGCTTCAAGAGGGTTTGGAGAAAGAACAGCATGTTTAATAATGATGATGATAAATTTATTTTCAAATTTTACAATACATATCAAATAATTTTTATACTTTTAGTATGGTTATCAACTTCCTTCCCCACACCCTTTCTGCAGTTACCTAAGTTATCTCTTCTTTTTTCTGCCTCTCCAGCATTAAAACCTAATTATAATTAATCTCTTATACTCAAACGTTTAACTTCACCATCTGCACATGCTTAAGTCAGTCCTTACAACAGTTCTTTAAATATTCAATAAATGATCCCCACTCTTGTTTAAACACCCCCTCTTCTTGATTTCTTAATCTTCCAGTATGTTTCGCCATTTCTGCATACTCCAGTAACTTTTCTTGCCAGTCCTCTTTTGTTTGGGGCTAATTCTTCTTTCCACTTTTGGGCAAACACCATTTGAGGTGCCGTGGTTGCGTACATAAATAACTTTTTCTGATCTTTAGGTATTTCAGATTCAATTATTCCTAAAAGAAAGGCTTCTGGTTTCTTAACAAAGGTCACTTTAAACTTTTAATTATTTGTACCCAGCCCATCAGACTGGATTGCCCCAGCCACTCTGGGCGGCTTCCAACATATATAAAAATATAATAAAACATTAAACATTAAAAAGCTTCCCTATACAGGACTGCCTCCAGATGTCTTCTAAAGGTTATATACTTTTGGGATGCAGATAGCGCTATGGTCCAAACCACTGAGCCTCTTGGGCTTGCCAACCAGAAGGTCGATGGTTCAAATCTGCACAACGGGGTGAGCTCCCATTGCTCTGTCGCGGCTCCTGCCAACCTAGCAGTTCGAAAGCACGCCAGTGCAAGTAGATAAATAGGTACCACTGCGGTGGGAAGGTAAACGGCACTTCCGTGCGCTCTGACTTCCGTCTCAGTGTCCTGTTGCACCAGAAGCGGTTTAGTCATGTTGGCCACTTGACCCAGAAAGCTGTCTGTGGACAAATGCTGGCTCCCTTGGCCTGAAAGCGAGATTGCCTTTGACTGGACTTAACCATCCAGGGGTCCTTTACCTTTTCACTATATAGTTTAGGATTACTCATCTCCTTGACATCTGATGGAAGGGCGTTTCATGGGGAGGGCGCCACTGCTAAGAAGTCCCTCTACCTGGTTCCCTATAGCTTCACTTCTTGCTGTGAGGAAGCTGCTCCCTCTTCTCCCTCTGACTGCTTTTCGTTGTCCCACCACCAATCCCCTGGCTGTGAGCCTTCTTCCCCTGAGGGTTCCCTCGGGGATTCCACAGCTGGTTCCTCTCATCACTTCTCTGCATCCAACCTGTCCATGGCAAATAGGAACCCAGCTCACAGCTTGTTTCTCCCAGACAAACCATGAGAGGTAAACCAAGAACAAACCTTGGATACACTTGATGGTTTATCTGAAGTCTGAGCTCAAATGTAACACTAAACCAAACCATGGCTTGGCTCCAGGCAGTGTAGCAACAGGAACTGCGGAGGAGTGAAGCGATTATGATTTTTCCTCTGAGTATCCACACACTCATGTATCATCATCATCATCATTATCAATATCACTGTTATAATTTATTTGATTTATATAGCACCCTTCATCATAAGATCTCAGTGCGGTTCACAGAATAAAGGTAAAGGGACCCCTGAACATTAGGTCCAGTCATGACCAACTCTGGGGTTGCAGCGCTCATCTCGCTTTATTGGCCAAGGGAGCCGGCGTACAGCTTCCGGGTCATGTGGCCAGCATGACTAAGCCGCTTCTGGTGAAACCAGAGCAGCGCACGGAAACGCCGTTTACCTTCCCGCCGGAGCGGTACCTATTTATCTACTTGCACTTTGATGTGCTTTTGAACTGCTAGGTTGGCAGGAGCAGGGACCGAGCAACGGGAGCTCACCCCATTGAGGGGATTCGAACCGCCGACCTTGTGATCAGCAAGTCCTAGGCTCTGTGGTTCAACCCACAGCACCACCCACGTCCCCTTCACAGAATAAAACACAGGATAAAAACAATTAAAATGAAGGCAAAGCAATAATCTCCCCTTCCCACATTTAAAGGGCTGTAGAATATTAATCTGCCAAAGGCCTGGTTTAGCCTTTCATCTGAACGGAGACATTCTGAATGCAGATATTTGCATACAATTCTGCTTCACATAGCTCTGTCCTGAACGAAAGGATCGTGGAGGTGGGTGGTGCAATTCTGCAGGGTATCTTTGCTGAGACATGTTGGTCTTGCAGCCGACATGCAAAATGAGTCAGCCGAGTCAAGTAGATTACAGTCACTGTCTCTACCACCTCTTCTAGAAAAAGATAAACCGGCACCCTCTGTTCTGGAAGACCTGCCTCTTCACGATGTTTGTGGATTCTCTCTATATTGGTTCAGTACTGGGAGGAAATGCATTCTGCATTGCCTTAGAACCTTGAGTTCGTATGTTCCAGGGCTGAGTTTTGGGGACTAAAAGGAGATGCTGAGGCCAAGTCCCTGCAGACCAGGGCACAAATGAACGGCTAGCTCCCTCTGACAGAGCACAGCGCATGAGACTCCTGCTTTAAGATGTGGTACAGATTTTGCAGCACATTTGCTTTCTCTCTGACAGAAAAGGAGCGTGCCTTTCTCAAAGAAAATCCGCTGGGGGTGGGGGAAGGAACTCACTGTGCATTTGCCAAGGGAAGGTCAAGGAGTCCAATGGGCTTGTGAACAAAAAGGGACAATGCAAGAGACACACAACTTGCCCCATACTCTCAGTGTCCCGATTTTACAGGGACAGTCCCGGAATTACAGAAGCCATCTCGGTTTCTGATTTGATCCGGGAATGTCCTGGTTTTCCTTTCCCCTCCCCTCCGCATCTCAGAGAGCAATTAGACGTGGTGGGTAAAAGTAAAGGTACCCCTGACCGTTAGGTCCAGTCGTGGACGACTCTGGGGTTGCGGCACTCATCTCGCTCTATAAGCCGAGGGAGCCGGCGTTTGTCCGCAGACAGCTTCCGGGTCATGTGGCCAGCATGACTAAGCCGTGGTGGGTAGGTGGGTGCAAAAACAGAGTTCTGTTTATACTGAAAATAAAATCCCTGTACCAAATGAAGGAAATTGTGACACTGACATACGAAGCCCTTCCTATAATTTTGAAGGAAAAGGTTACTAATTAGCCTCAAATTCTTTAATTGCAGTGCTTCCGCAGCACTCCAAATGCATGGAGTGTTTATTCCTTAATTGTAAATGGAGCCTTACACTTTCTGCTCAGAAGTAAGTCCCACTATATTCAATGGACCCGACTCCCAGGTAACTGGTTAAAGACGGTGCAGCCTTACACTGCAATCCTAAGCATTTTTACTCAGAAGTAAGTCTCACTGAGTTCAATAGGATTTGCTCTTTGGTATGTTCCTGATCATTCTCACACTTTCTCTCATCATTATCATCTTGACAAGGACTCAAGGCAGCATATCACTAACATTTTATTTCATTCCATTTATCTGTCGAAGGTGTTGTACATGATCCCTTCCCTCGCTCAGTTGGTTTTTTTTTACAACAATCCTGTGAAGTAGGTTCAATGGAGAGGTTGCAATCGGCTCAAGGTGACAGATGTAGATGTGTACATGACGCCTATGCGTGTGGAAATATCAAATGCGAGAGAAGCTTCCTGATGTAGAATAGGATGTCCCTATTTTCATCTGAGAAATGTTGGGAGGGTGCGCAAGAGAGCCAGTGTGGTGTGGTGGTTAAGAGCAGTAGACTTGTAATCTGGTGAACAGGGTTCGATTCCCCGCTCCTCCACATGCAGCTGCTGGGTGACCTTGGGCCAGTCACACTTCTTTGAAGTCTCTCAGCCCCACTCACCTCACAGAGTGTTTGTTGTGGGGGAGGAAGGGAAAGGAGATTGTTAGCCGCTTTGAGACTCCTTCGGGTAGTGATAAAGCGGAATATCAAATCCAAACTCTTCTTCTTCTTCTTCTTCAAGCCCTGGCCTATGCTGCAGGGTTCAGCCCCATGGCGGTTTAAGCCAGAGGCCTGAGCTCTGCTCTAGATCCGAGTGCCTTTTGTGGCGGCAATGTGTTCCCACAAAAGCAGGCCACGTGGACAAACTCGACATTCTCCTTCCTCATCTCTGCTGTCCAGTTTCCTCTGACCAGAAGCTTACAGTGGAATTACATTCCCCCACAGGGAAATATCATTGTCAGAGAGCTGACATAGGTTCTGCAAACATTTATACCTTTAAAGTACATTTGAAGCACATTCTTTCTCTCAAAGAATTCTGGGCCCTGTAGTTTACCTCTCACAGAGCTCCAGTTCCCAACTACCCAGAACAAACTACAGGGCCCAGAATTCTTTGAGGGCTGTGTGTGCTTTGAATGTGCTTTCAATGTATAGCGTGCATACAAAATAGTTGCAAAGTGTTTGAGCTGCGAGGCTGCAGCTCAGATCTCACCTCAGGTACAAACTGATGCGCTTATTCACTTATTCCCCCTCTGGCTGTAACACGGGGGAAAATAATCTTGACCTTCCCTTTTGGGTTATTGTCAGATTACTGAGGTAACATATGTCAGGCTTCGCCAACCTGGCAGGCTCCAGATGTTTCTGAGGTGAATTGTCATAAAAACACCAGATGCCTTTTAAGGAGAGCCAAAAGTGCTTAGGCGAGACTTGAGAAGTTCCCACACATCCTCTCCTGATTGTTGCCTGTTCACATTTGCCTTTGTGATGATTTCTGCGTTTGTGTCTGAAGTGTATTCTCTCCATGAGCAGCAGCATAGGATTCAGTGCCTCCCATGCTCAGAGAGCCAAGCTGAGTAATCTGACCTTGAGCCTATGAAATCACTGATACCCAACGGATCTGTGCTATTCCGGAAGGCTTGGGAAGAAGACCGCAGGTTCCATCCGCCTGAGATGGAAGGTAAATGAAATTCAAGAAGCTGGTTTTGGGCCTGAAAGCAACGAGATCATAGCACAAGCAAAGCAGAGCTGGTGAATTTTCCTTTGCTCTGCACTATTAGGGGTGATACAAGGCATCAGAAAAAGACCTAACCTGCAGTCGTGCTTTCAAGACAGCACATCCTTCAACAATGATGTAGTGCACACCCATTTATTACCTTTATACCCTGCTTGGCAGCAAAGTTTGGTTTCCAAAGCGGCTCACAATAAAAATAATGAATGCCCACAGCACAATCCCTTATTACATGGGTAGGCAAACTAAGGCCCAATCACCTTCTAAATCAGGCGCCAAGGACAGTCCAGGAATCAGCGTGTTTTTCCATGAGTAGAATGTGTCCTTTTATTTAAAATGCATCTCTGGGTTATTTGTGGGGCATAGGAATTCGTTCATTTCCCCTCCAAAATATAGTCCGGCCCCCCACAAGGTCTGAGGGACAGTGGACCGCCCCCCTGCTGAAAAAGTCTGCTGAGCCCTGCCTTATTACAACCACTCTTTGAAATTAGGGTGGCCGTGTCCTGGTACGTAGGACAACCCTCTAGTTGAAGGCATCCTGTTTGAAGGGCTGCCTGGTCCAAGCCCAGTTTAAAAATAAAGAACCTATTCCCACATTGCAGCGGGTTGGACTAGATGACCTTTGGGGGTTTCTTCCATCTCTATGATTCTATGATAACCATAAGGAGGAGGAACAGGGGGTCTGAAGTTGCCAATCAGTAGCTAGTACCTGAATGGACCACAGGACACTTCATCAGTTTCCTCCACAGGATTGAGGTGCATTTTAAATTATAGTAAATTATTTCTAAATTTTGCTTTATATACATTAGCATATGCACATGTTTGTCCTTGGTAATGCATTCCCTCCTTTTTGTGATTTGCAAGTGGTCGCCCTTTCTGAAATCGTCTGTGTTTACAATAGGCTGTGTGTACAGATTTGCTGAAGGGACGCGGGTGGCGCTGTGGGTTAAACCACATAGCCTAGGGCTTGCCAATCAGAAGGTCAGCAGTTTGAATCCCCGCGACGGGCTGAGCTCCCGTTGCTCGGTCTCTGCTCCTGCCAACCTAGCAGTTCGAAAGCATGTCAAAGCGCAAGTAGATAAATAGGTACCGCTCCAGCGGGAAGGTAAAACGGCATTTCTGTGCGCTGCTCTGGTTTGCCAGAAGCGGCTTAGTCATGCTGGCTGCATGACCCGGAAGCTGTATGCTGGCTCCCTCAGCCAATAAAGCGAGATGAGCGCCACAACCCCAGAGTTGGTCACGACTGGACCTAATGGTCAGGTGGTCCCTTACCTTTACAAATTTGCTGGAGCAAGCTGCAAGAGATCCTCTTTGGTTGCAAAGGTGTGATACAGATGTCATCCCAGATTGTGCCTCTGTTGTGAGGAATCTGGCATTCAGACAGCAATGGAGGTTGCTGGTGAAAGACCAGCACCTCCATCACCACTAAGAATTCATCTGAAGTGCTTGTGCATCTGTCATGGGCATGACTGGAGAGCATGTATGTATTCTGTGCTAAAATAATTATGAAGCCAGGTAATCCAAATTCTGTGCAAAGAAAAAACTGGATTCTGTGATTTGCAGATGGAGCAAACTGCAGAATTTCTTATTTGGCAAAAATACACTATTCTGCAATGTTTGTTATTTGGTACATATTGTTCTGGTTTTGCTAATCCCTAGAAAGGGTGAGGCGCTAAGGCACTGAAGCCCTGGCAAATAGACATCTTATTTCGCAACAATATTGACTCCTGAAATTCACCAAAGCTTTTCCCACTATACTTTCAAACAGCCCTTCATAAGGGCTAGAAAGCTGCTTTCTTAAAAGTGGAAGAAGCTGAATTCTGTGCCCACTCCCACATCCTGCCTTTTTCTGCATTCATGGAATAAGTAGGATGCATAACATCACTGATGACAAAATACACACTGTGTCCTGTCCCGGCTTGTGTAATTTTAATAGGAGGATGGGACATTGGATATAGTTATTAAGCTACATCTAATGCGTGGACTTCTCCACTATACAGCATAATTCCCCAATGGGTTAGCCACTTAAGGCTGCAATTTTATACACACTTAGCTAGGCTTTTGGCCCCTTGTTTATTTTTTTTAAAAAAGACGATGCACACCCCGCAAGCACAAATTAAAACAAAGTAAGATTGGGTCATGTGAAGGCATTTTCCTGCAGGAGGTCTGTTTGTAACTGTTTACTTACCACTTTTACACCTCTCTCTCCCTGCCAGGGAACTCCGGCAGCAAATATTTGCCACGTGTACAGTGCAACACTATACAGAGAAGGCCAATTCATTTCAATGTGACTTACTCCCAGGTAAGTCCTCCCATGTACTGAGGTTCTTACCCGCTCCATGTCATCTGTTGCGATTGGTGTGCTTAGGTACAGGATTGGTGCTTGAGCAACGGCACAGGCAAACTCAGGGAGGTGCCCAGAATTATTGTGCTTGCTTAATATACCCGCTCGGGCTCTTTCTCGAAGGATCTCATCGAGTGCTGTGTAATTCTGAAGCAGACCCCCTTCCAGACTTGCTTAGCATCAGCAATACCACTGTGACAGGTGTCTTCAGACCATTTCCGCACCTGTCATCTTCTCTAGGCTACTGGCCCCAAGGGAAGAGACGAAGTCCTTGGGAGAGCAAGTGGTTTGCCCACTGGTTTTGGCATATTTTTAAATACAGTATTTGAGTTGTGTCTACTTGTTAACTGGCAGAGGTGCCACTCTGCATGGCTTAATGCACAAATGCCTTGGGAACATGGAGGAGGTGCAGAGGAATCCTGCCCCCCTTAACCCCCCCACCCCCCCACCAAGCAAGGACTCCTTTCTAGGATCAGTTGACTTGTTTCCTTACTCGCTTCCCGCCTTATTCGTTGTTGCTAAGCTCTTTTGCCAGCAACAGCTACAACCAGGAAAGAAGAATCTTTAGAAGAATGGCAATGCACGCTGACCTGATACTGTGCCAGGAAGAGATTTATGGACACCCCTCCACCTGCATTGTGTGTGACGCAAAGGGCAGGCTATGAAGGGGGGGGGGAGAGAGAATGGAGAAGGCCGCAAACACCACAGTAGGTGGTGGGGGAGAGGAGAGATGGAGCCTGATACAGCGCCGGAAAGAGAAGAAGGGAAAAGGTGCAAGGCACAGCACTGCTAAGGGTTTAGTCTCCTCTGCACTGCAAACCTGCAAAAATTGCAGATAACCACGCCAGGAAAAGCCTCTGGTGCCTGGGAATTTCAGCCAACAAGGCAGGGATTCTCCGGCACCTACGCAGGTCTCTATTCCCCTCCCACCATATTCTGCAGCACCTTCTGGGTCGGTATTTCCCGCCGTCAGCTGCTCCAACAAACTGCTCTGCACTCCGAAACGGCTTGCCCAGTCTGTTCAGATGCCACAGGCGCTCTCAGTGGGGTGCAAAGACCCAGGACCATTGAAACGTCCTTGCCCCAGTGTCAAGAGGAACTCCCCCCCACCCACCTTGGGCATGTGTTTGTGTGCACAGATGTACTGAGGACTCCCTGGGCATCAATATTTCTGCAGCAGAGCCCAAACTGTCAGCAATCCAGCCCAAATAAATTCCCGGCGGCTCATCCGTGCTTTCGCTGGCTTTGCCTTTTGATTCATTCCGGTTCGGACAGAGATTAGACAAAGCCATTGGCTGTGTGCCTGATCCGCCCGCCCCCCCCCAGTCCTTTTCCAAGGGTCCTTGGGTTCAGAATAGGAAGGACTTTTGCAGGCTGTCCCCCCTCCCAACTTTCATTCCTACTCATCTTTCCGTCTCTCTCTTCTATCCTGCTCCCCCCCTTCCACAACTATTTTCCAAGCTAGAAGTGGGAAGGGGGGGCAGAGAGACAAGAGCACTGTCCTCTAAGGAGGTCAGGGCCAGATAAGCAGGGATAAGGGTTGGGGCGGGAGAGGCAGAACTGGGAACCCAGAGGCAGTCATTGGTACCAAGAATACACAAGCTGCCGTGAGATGGTGCAGTGAGGGCTTTGCTTCCCTGGTTCCCATCGCTTCCCCTTCCGTATTAACTGGAGCCCAGGAATCCACCTTATGATGACTTTTGGCTCTTTGGGGAGCGCTGGTTGGCATGGCTGCAACCTTGCCACGCAACTATAGAATTATTGGGTGATGGTGACTGGGGGGGGGGGGAAGAATCACAGCTTGATCCCTGGGGTGGCAAAGTCCTGTGCTCGCCAGACTCCCTTGCCATCCCAGCAAAGGCAGGCTTAATAGTAGCACCCTCCCCCTATGATGCCTCCAGCACAAGAACCCACAAAGTGGGGGCACCGGCAGGAGTCGGGGCAAGAAGAATCTCAAAAGCCCATGAGCAGAAGGCTGGAGGATGGGAAGAAGCAGAATCAGTCCTTGGGATGGTGGTGGGATAGAGAGGAGACCCCTCCAACATTTCTCTGATGGAAAGGAAAGGCAGGGTCAAATCAGAAAGCGGGCGGCTTCTGTAAATCCGGAACTGTCCCTGGAAAATAGGGACACTTGGAGGGTCTGAGATAGTATTTTGAGATGCAGGAGGGATAGGGGTTTCGCCTTGCGGGGGAGGAGGAGGAGGAGGAGGAGGAGGAGACGGGGAAGCCACTTACCTTCCTAAGGCAGAAGCAGGAAGGCTGGCCAAGGCAGCAGCGCACTAAGCAGAGATGGATGGCGAGAGGAAAGATACAGGATGCGAAGGGGAGCAGCTCTGTCCTCTGAGCCAGCGGCAGGAAGAGCAGCAAAAGCAGCAACAGTGGGATGGAGCCGCCCCTGATAGGGCCTGGGCGGGAGCATGTGACCCAGAGCTGGGATGAGTCAGGATTTCAAGGGAGCTTTGCAAACAGCACGTAGAGGATGGAGAGAGGGGGGGGGAGAGGGGAGGGGGGAGGGGCGGCGGTGCTGCAGGGATGGGATGCCAAAAACAACACACTCAGCCCGGCTCCATCAGACTTCTTTTCCTGCCCTCCTTTTTTTAATCCACAGTCACATGCATCCCATCCATCCCATTCAAAGCGCAGAGACGCCGCTCTGTCTCTCGGCACCTTTCGGGTACTGCGCGCCAGGGAAGCAGCGCTCCTTGGGTCGGAAGGAGGCTTTGCAAGGCGGGCTGCAGCTCCTGCTCCACTCCGCGAACCAGCTGGCAGCTGAGCTCCGGAAAAGCGGCTCCGGGCAAACGCCCTGCCTGGGGACTGGCACTCTCGTGTCATTCTGGCGCATCATCCTCCTGAACGAGGTCATCCGTTTCCTGGAAGAAATAGGGGAGGGGGCGGAGTGGATAGGAAGAAGAGAGGGAAATTGGGTTATTTCCGGATGGAGGGTCTTTCAGGGGGCAGGCGGCCTGATTTGGCACACACGACACCCGCGAGACACACAAGGAGAGGGCTGGTCCCACCCGCTTCTTGAGAGCCCAAATACTAAGATCAGAAGAAGTGCGTAATCCACAGAGAGGGTCTTCTGTGCCGACTCTGTTGAAATGGATGGGAATGCGCAGCGGCCAGCAATTCTGATGATGCGGCTCGTGTAAAACTTCCCACTGGATGATTAAGCACTACTAGAGCATCAGGTCTAACAGCCTTAGCGCAAAATTTCTCCTTTCCCTCCAACTGCCTTCTGCTTTCATCTCTTTTATTAGCGGTCAGCTACTCACAGAACTGTAGAGTTGGAAAGGACCACGAGGGTCATCAAAACCAGCCCCCTGCAATGCAGAAATCTTCCGGCCAGTGTGGGACTCAAACCCATATTCCCGCCATTAAGAGTCTTATGCTCTACCAACTGAGCTAGCCTTGTGCTTCTGTCTGTCTGTCTTTATAGCATCTAGAACATATTAGAAGCTTTATAACTAATAAATGGTGGTGATCAATTCTCTCTCTCTCTATATATATATATACTGTTCTGCAGGTATGGCTTTAGCCATAGGATCACACAACTAAAAGCACAGAATGCTGACATTTACAGGTTGCTTCCAGGCGGGAGCTGCAAAGAGTAGGGGCGAAATTAGGCTTTATTTCACCCAGGTCAAAGACACCCCCCCCACATGCATTTGCCTACACACACACACACACACACACACACACACGGGCTGGCAGCCTCAATGGAGCCCCTGGGGGGGTTTCACCTGGGGTGAAAAACCTGGCTGCCCCCCTCCCTCCCCCATAGCTACAGCACAGCAAAGGGGCTGCAAATGGACCACTGGCAGGAGTTATTTTTAATTTATTGGACTTTATCCAGAAAGGACAGGTCCAGATTAAATTGGCGGAGGGGGAAAATGGGCTGGTATTTCAACGCCAATTACGTTGTGCGGATGCTGCAAACACTTGAATGCGTGAGGAGCACCAGTCCCACCATAAAGCACCCATCTGGAAGCATTCCTTAGAAAGAAGGAAATCGGCTTTTTGAGTTCCTGCTTCAAAAGTCTTCCCCACCCATGCCCGCCAACAGATACTGTAGTGTCCTGTTCTGGCAGGCAGCCTGTTATCTTGTCTGTGACAGGCACCATGGTCGCATGCTGTGGGATTATTGAAAGCAGTGTTTCTTTTTAAAAAAACAAAACATAACTGCCTGCCCATGAAAACCCCACACCCTCCTTCGAACCTGGCTTCCCTAATTATTTCATTTGAATTTTCAAATGGATTGAGATTTCATGAGTTTGAATGTGTTACTTATATTGCACACATTTCTGGGAAACACTCACACACACCCCAACTGAGATCTTCATATGTCTTTGGGGGTGCCCCCCCCCCCGGTTGAGAAAGGCTGATGTGAAAAAATTGCTTCATTCATTCTCTCATTCGCTCGGAGTCCTGACACATGAAGAGTTAAGAACAGCTGCTGAACAAGGTTAGCATGCTAGCGGTGGACACCCAGGCCTATGAGAGGCTAAACACATACTCACAGCACCTTTACTTTCCATGTTATGCTTTCATCCTCCTAATAATGTTCACTTGCCACCTGAAACATCTCAAGATATTTTGCTCTGAATGGGTGTGGGTGTCAATGGCTGCTGTTTTCTGCACCTTTCCCAGCTCTGAGACATCCATCTGGAGATGCGAGGACCACAGTGGTGTGCAGTATTCTAATGGTGGCCACGCCATAGACTTGAAAAATGGCATTAAGACTTCATTTTCAACCCCTTTCCCCAGTATAATGTGCCATGCCGAATTCATTATAACATAGTTGTTGAGCAAGACCTCCAGGTCACTTTTTAACAGAGCAACTAGCATGCATGCGATTGGATCCCGCCCAAAGAGAGCAACAACGCGGGGAGTGATCTAAGGCTGAAAGTGACCAGATTCCTGATTTCAGGCTTTTCTCGTCTTAAGTGGGGATCCACACTATTCGTACCACCCCTGCCCCTGTGCTCAAATTATGGGGAGAAACAACTACAGTGGTACCTCTGGATACGAACGGGATCCGTTCTGGAGCCCCGTTCGCATCCAGAAGCAAACGTAACCAGCAACGGCACGTCTGCGCATGCGCATGTCGCTTTTCGCTGCTTCTGCGCATACGCGTGACGTCATTTTGAGCATCTGCGCATGCGCAAGCGGCAAAACCCGGAAGTAACATGCTCCGTTACTTCCGGGTTGCCACGGAGCGCAACTTGAACGCGCTCAACCCGAAGCGCATTCAACCTGAGGTATGACTGTAAATGAAATCCACATACTCCTTTCCACCCCCTCCTCCATTATAGCCAAATTTTATCACTTTAAAAAACCGCAAGGAAAGAGGCTGTGTCACAAAAGGGAGGAGCGTATGGTTCTCTGTGGCTCCTGACAATTTGAGCCTTCGCTGCCCCTCCTGCCACCCCCCTTTGTGTCTCACTTCCAGCTCCTTCTCTCTCTCCTTCTCTCTCTCTAGTTCCAGCTCTTCTTCCCGGCGCCTCTGTCGTAGCTCCTCAGCATCCGTCCGTTCGTCCTCTTCAAAGAAATCCTTATCGAGGCGCTCAAGGCGTGGAAGCATCACCAGCACTTCCACCCGGTAGTCCCCCTCCTCCGCACAAGGGTTGTCCAGCAAGACCAGGGCTCGTAGCATGGGCAGCACCAGCAGCTTCGACACTTCCTGGAGCTGCACAATCGCATTCCCCCTGCAGGAGAACGAAGAAGTTAGCAGGTGTGGGGAACTTCCAGGTCCTCCTGTTGAAAATGTTCCCTCTGTGCTCTGGTTTGGCTCTCTGATGCCAGAGTTTCCCTTAACAGCCAGTGCCATAGTTAAGTATCTTCTATGCACAAGGCAGGACGCAGGTGGCGCTGTGGGTTAAAGCCTCAGCGCCTAGGACTTGCCGATCGAAAGGTCGGCGGTTCGAATCCCCGCGGCGGGGTGCGCTCCCGTCATTCGGTCCCAGCGCCTGCCAACCTAGCAGTTCGAAAGCACCCCCGGGTACAAGTTGATAAATAGGGACCGCTTTCTAGCGGGAAGGTAAACGGTGTTTCCGTGTGCGGCTCTGGCTCGCCAGAGCAGCGATGTCACGCTGGCCACATGACCTGGAAGTGTCTCCGGACAGCGCTGGCCCCCGGCCTCTTGAGTGAGATGGGCGCACAACCCTAGAGTCTGGCAAGACTGGCCCGTACGGGCAGGGGTACCTTTACCTTTACCTTTATGCACAAGGCAGTCTTCCTGTGCTGTACATGGGTAAAGGGACCCCTGGCCGTTAGGTCCAGTCGCAAACGACTCTGGGGTTGCGGCGCTCATCTCACTTTATTGGCCGAGGGAGCCGGCGTACAGCTTCCGGGTCATGTGGCCAGCATGACTAAGCCGCTTCTGGTGAACCAGAGCAGCGCATGGAAATGCCATTTACCTTCCCACCAGAGTGGTAGCTATTTATCTACTTGCACTTTGACGTGCTTTCGAACTGCTAGGTTGGCAGGAGCTGGGACCGAGCAACAGGAGCTCACCCCGTCGCGGGGATTCGAACCGCCGACCTTCTGATCAGCAAGCCCTAGGCTCAGTGGTTTAGACCACAGTGCCACCCGCATCCCTTGTGCTGTACATACATAGACTCTAGAAATGGCACCAGAGTGAGCCGAGAATGGCAGGAGCCTTTGAAGCATGGATAGGCCACTATATGGCCACTGGGACCATATAACACTGCTCTGGTGGGCCACAGGTTAACCACCCCTGATTTACAACGAATACTTCAAGGAGCTAAGAACCAGTCTCAAACGTAGACTTGGCTCAGATACCACTCCCTGCCTCCTGTGCCATTTCCCCTCTTATTTCTAAGAGGCCCTGGTGGAAATTCTGTGCTACGAGAAACAACTCACCGTAGGTTGAGATACTGGAGAGACTTCAAGCTTGCTGAGAAGCCATCCAGGGTTTCAATCTGATTGTCGCGCAGATGCAGAGTTGTGAGCTGCCCCAGGTCCTCCAGGCCCTCTATTACGGTAATGGCATTCTGGGCCTAGGGGGAAAGATGTTGCAATGTAAGAGAAAGACGACATAGTAAAAGGCAAAGGACCCCTGGACAGTTAAGTCCAGTCAAAGGCGACTATGGGGTTGCGGTGCTCATCTCGCTTTCAGGCCGAGGGAGCCGACATTTGTCCGCAGACAGCTTTCTGGGTCATGTGGCCAGCATGACTAAACCGCTTCTGGCACAACGGAACACTGTGACGGAAACCAGAGAGCAGGGAAACGCTGTTTACCTTCCTGCCGCAATGGTACCTATTCATTTACTTGCGCTGGTGTGCTTTTGAGCTGCTAGGTTGGCAGGAGCTGGGACAGAGC